TAGCTCATCAAGATTGTAACTTGCTTAGCTAAATGAATTGTGGGGTTCAGTCCCTGAGCCCATTATGTGCCTCTGTAACCCTTTCCACTACCGCCCACAAGATGGGTATGGGGTGCATAATAATTGAACTAAACTAACTAACGGCGTGCACGCCGGAGGTTGACGATCTGTGTCGACCCGACGATCTGGGTCGACACACGCTCACCCACAGCACATGCCACATTAAGCCCAGCGGAGCTTTAGCCTTTTTTTTAAGTCATTAAGCTTATGTAATTTTTTATTTATGTAATGCGGCTGTCTTAGATAATTTGGGGTAATTTGCCAAACTTTTTTTTTTTTTTGAGATATATACAAGAGTTGTTACATTCTTGTACAGCCACTAGTACGCGTAGCGTTTCGGGCAAGTCCTTAATCCTATGGTCCCTGGAATACGATCCCCTGCGGCGAAGAATCGTTTTTTCATCCAAGTACACATTTTACTGTTGCGTTAAACAGAGGCTACAGTTAAGGAATTGCGCCCAGTAAATCCTCCCCGGCCAGGATACGAACCCATGACATAGCGCTCGCGGAACGCCAGCCGAGTGTTTTACCACTACACCACGGAGACTGCAGACTTTCAAACTTTTTGTAATTTCAAACTAGTTTGCAACAACCGATGATACTATTAATGCTGGGTCTTAATTTACCGTCTTATTCCTATTGCAGGGGGTCAGGAAACTCTTTTTAGATTTATAAGGTCCCCGTGGACTGCACTTACGTCGAAGTGACTTCTCCTAGGATGCAACCCACGACGCTCACATAACCCCCTAATTTACTGCTAAGTGGATAGAGGCATTAGGTGAATGGAAACGGTCCCAACCATTTCTCTGCTGCATCTTCGTAAAGACAGCTTGGGACAAGAGCCATAATCACCGGCGAGTTAAGAAGATGCAGTAATAATAAAATTATGAGCAAGACTACCACAGAAATTGTATATATTTTCTATGACAGAGTCTCTTAAAATTCTTGGAGTAACTATTATAAATCTGCTCAATACTCGCCTCGTTGTCCTTGCAGGGGGTTGAGCTTCGGCTCTTTGGTCCTGCCTCTCAATTGTCAATAGAAGAGTGAATACTAACCTGACTTCCGACCGTCGAAGGATTATGTTGCAGATCCGACCGTCGGCGGCCCCCGGGGCGGTCGTTGCCGCTGTCCACTCCAGTATTCGATGGTGCTGCCATTACCCCCTGTCACGCGGGAATTGACGACTGGTTTGGAGTTCTCTGGAATGGCGGATTACCCGGTGGTGGACATCTTGTTATCTGATGTCGTGCGTGTGGCTGTGGCCGCCGTCAGTGGAGTTCAGCTCATCTTCGCCCACCGAGCTGTGGTCAAGTTCAGGTCCAAGAATGGGGTAAGTCCACCACCGGGTAATCCGCCTTTCCAGAGAACTTCAGCAGTTCCCGTGGCGCAGTGGTAAGACATTAGCCTGGCATTTCGCGAGTACTTTGGCTTGGGTTCGAATCCTGACCGGGGAGGATTGACCGGGTGTCAATCCTTAAATGTAGCCTCTGTTCATTCAGCAGTGAATGGGCACCTGGTTGTTAAACGATTCGGCAGGGTCGTATTTGAGTCACAGCCTGGTTGATCAGGTATCCTTTGGAGGTGTTTGTCAAGTTCTCTCTTGAACGCTGTGAGGGGTCGGCCAGTTATGCCCCTTATGTGTAGTGGAAGCGTGTTGAACAGTCTCGGGCCTCTGATGTTGATAGAGTTCTATCTGAGTATCTGTTGCACCTCTGCTTTTCAACGGGGATATTCTGCACATCCTGCCATGCCTTCTGGTCTCATGTGATGTTATTACTGTGTGCAGGTTTGGGACCAGCCCCTCTACTATTTTCCACGTATAAATTATTATGTATCTCTCCCGCCTGCGCTCAAGAGAATACAGATTTAGGCTCTTTAGTCGGTCCCAATAGTTTAGATGTTTTTCTGAGTGGATTCTAGCAGTAAAGGATCTCTGCACGCTCTCCAGGTCAGCAATTTCTCCAGCTTTGAAAGGGGCTGTCATTGTGCAGTAGTACTCTACTCTAGAGAACACTAGCGTCTTGAAAAGTATCATCATAGACTATATAGCATCTCTAGTGTGAAAGGTTCTTGTTATATAACCTGTCATTTTTCTTGCAGTTGTGACGGCTACTTTATTGTGTTCTTTAAAGGTAAGATCTTCCGACATGAGTACAGCCAAATCCTTTACATTGCCTTTTCGTTCTATGTTATGATTTGACTGAGTTCTGAACATGGTTTCTGTTTTTATATTTTCATTTTTTTCCGTAGCGCATGAGCTGGAACTTATCTTCGTTAAATACCATATTATTTTCTGTAGACCATAGAAAGACCTGATTTACATCTGATTGGAGGTTTGCCGTATCCTCTAAGTTGTCTACTCTCATGAAAATCCTAGTTTCATCTGCAAAGGATGATACAGTACTATAGATTGTGTCCTTGTCTATGTTCGATTTGAGGATGAGAAAAAGTACTGGAGCAACACAGTACCCTGGGGGACTGAGTTCTTCACGGTTGATGGATGAAATTTTATTTTGTTGACTATTACACATTGAGTTCTGTTAGTCAGGAAATTGTAGATCCATCTGCCTATTTTTCCGGTAATTCCCTTTGAACGCATTTTATGTGCAATAACACCATGGTCACATTTGTCGAAGGCTTTTGTGAAATCTGTGTAAATTACATCAGCGTTTTGTTTGTCTTCCATGATATCTAATGCCATATCATTAGATGCCAGAAGGGTGAATAGAAGAAGGGTCAGTAGAAGGGTGAATAAAATCCATGTAGTATAAAATATTATAACATTATCAGAAGTACTCTATACCGGTATCTATATATAGTCGTCTTCGTTATCAACAGGCAAAGAACTTTTTGGCTGTCTTATCTGCACGCTGTGACTGTGTTTATCTGTGACAGATAAACTGATTGTGCTGCTATGTGTGGCGATGACAGCGGCCGGCGAGCCTGATATAAAGCTGAAAACAAATTAATTTTCTTTATTATGCACCCCATACCCATCCCGTGGGCGGTGGTGGAAAGGATTACAGAGGCACATAATCGGTACAGGAGTTGAACCCCATAGTTCGTTTAGATGATGATGATAATAATAATAATTTGTATTTGCAAGAAGGTACAATGGGTTGGTGAGATTACATAAGACGTATTTTAACATGCAAAGCCATTAAAACGCATAGCGTTTCGGGCAGGTCCTTAATCGAACATATCTAAGGTAAGATGAAAAGGTACATTGTAGCAAGTTTTTACATCAACAAATAACTACAATGTAAGTTGACAGAGGTAGTTACACTGGTAAGGCTATGTCATAAGTACTAAATTGGGGAAGTGGGTAGTACAAGATACAGTGTGAGTTTGAAGCACAAGGTAGGAAACTGAGGATGAAATTAGGTACTTTTTGGTTTTACCTTTGAACGGGATGAGTTGGACAATTTTTTAATTTATCAGGGAGAGAGTTCCAAAGACTGGGTCCATTTATTTGCATGGAGTGTTTACACAGATTTAGTCTGACTCTGGGGATATCAAAGAGATATTTATTTCTGGTGTGGTGCTCATGGGTTCTATTACATCGATCAAGGAAAAGTTTCAGTTCAAGATTAGCATTTAGGAACATGGTTTTGTACATGTAGATAGTACGTGAGAATGTGTGGAGTGTATGTCTAGCATGTTAAGTGACTTAAACAAAGGGGCTGTGTGTTGTCTGAAGACAGAGTTTGTTATTGTTCTGATAGCAGATTTTTGCTGAGGGATGATAGGCTTGAGGTAATCTGCAGTGCTTGAACCCCATGACAGATACCGTATATAAGATATGGATAGACTGCCACAAAGCAAGTGACAATCTTTTGAAGCTAGTTACACAATTGTTAATGTTACATACGCATGTACATATATATACATCCATGTACACATATACATAATCTTTTTTATATCACAAGTGATTCAACAAGAGACTCACGACAGTCACTATACAAGGCACTTTACATCTATGGTGAGTCACAGTTACTAGTCTTGCTCCACGCCCACCCAACTGGGCGGCAGCTTTACAGTCATGTGCAGGCTGCACCAGTCAGCAAATTTTGGATACCTCGCTAAGATTCCTGGCAGTACATCATTATGAATGAAGTACACATTTATTGGACACCATGAGGGTGTTCTCTGAATTCCGCGATTTTTTCACATTTCATTATATAATGACGCAAAGTATGCGAATAATTCTGCTGACAGTTTAAATTTAGTCAAATCTACATCAGATGATGTTGCAAATTCCCAGAAGTACTTGTAGCCGAGCCTAACCATAGCAGTGGTAACATCTAGAAGTCTGCTAACCATATTGGATGACCCATACCCGTGCGGTTCTTCCTGCATAATAGAATGATGATAGGTGAAGTAACTGGTGTGCATTTCACTTTGCCTGAAGTCTACGAGATTTTGTTGATATTCCCGGAATATTACTGCCCTCAGGCTGCTCAAAGGCAGTCCAAGATGGTAATCAATTCCCTCTTTATGACCAAAGGTTTTGGCTAACTCATCAGTTCTATCATTCATTCGGAGACCAATGTGGGAAGGAATCCACAGGAGACAAACTCTGACTTCATCATTGATTATTTCATTATACGTGTGTAGCTTCAAACACAAGCATGTCACAGTTATGCCTTGGAAAGCTGAAGCCATGTCTAACCTATAACAACAATGAGTCATTCATAAAAAAAATACAACACAGATGCTTTGTCTAACATTCAAAACTTGTTAATATACAAGAAGTGCATACTTTATCTATTTTTAACGTGAGCATTGAGTCTTTGTTTATACACCAGCCGATTCAAATTCCCTGTAACCGTTATAGCTATGAACAATGTTATCAGGAAGTGGTTGTATGAGGGCCAAGCAGTCTTATCACAACGAGGGCCAGGCACAGTAGACGACTCGTCTCGCTCAAGGTACCATATTTTATATATCTTATTTATATTAGACAAAATATGCTCTGGATAGGTCCTGAAACTAGGGATATTAGGATATTTATTTTGTAATTTGTTGTACACATGGCTACGAAGTGTTTGGATTATGATTACTGTCTTCAGAACTGCAAGGAGAGTACCAAGTAAGTCAGCGGAGAGGCAGCGAAGTGGAAGAGAGGCAGTAAATGGGTCAGTGGAGGAGAGGGAGAGTGGAGGTAACCAAGTTGATGAGAGTGGAGAGAGGTTGGCAAGTGAAAGGGAACTGGTGGAGCTTGGTCAACGCAAGCAGCAGCGAATTTATCATCTCCCCGAGTCTTTCCAGCAGATACAGGCATGTTAACTACCTGTGGAAACAAGAGGAATGGGGAAAAAATAAAAGATGGAAACAATGATTGTTTTGGCTGTACAACAAGTCTAAATGAAGTGGACAGAAATATTGTTGGACTCACCTTGCAGGGCCACAAGTTCTTAAAGAATAAATCCAAGGGCTCAATATGTGCCAACATCCATAAGATGAATCAGTTTGGCTTGGCAGGTGGATTTGAAGAGTCCACAAGCCTACTGTGTGTAATATAGTTACAGTCCATGGTGTAGGCTGTAATTTGTGACCCACATAAGCTTGCAGTGTGTGGTATACACACAGCACTGCTGCCTGTTACTAATTCGGAAATTTTAGCCAAAATGAGGCGGACGCAATGTAAACCGATTAAAATCAAAAGAATCTAGCAAAATGTTTGCATTTTATTATACTTCGGAAACTTTGTGTAAATATTTGATTTGGTTTAACAAAAGACGATATTTATAAATATGGTATTTTGCGCCAGTGATTTAGCGCTCTTGGGGCAGCAATGTAATGAGTATTTGATAAAATACCAGCTTATCCTTAACCCCGACTATTCGACCATTGATTATTTAGATTGGTTTATGAAGATTAAGCCACCCAAGAGATAGCACGGGCATAAATAGCCCGTAAGTGGTAGATGTTTTGTTTAGAAAAATGTATACTGTGTGTTGAGGTCGCATTTAATCGTAAAGCTGCTATTGCGGGGAGGATACTGCCTGACTGTAGTTTTGAGGGTGTCCAGCTGCTGGACACCTTTTTTGATCAGAAGAGTGGCAGTGTTGATGGCTTCAGGCTGGTTACTGCAAGATTCAGGAACTACTGCAAAGTTCTTCTAAGGTCGTTGGTTGCTTCACATTTCAGGAGATAGTAAGTAGTGGATTTTCTGTGATTGTTTGGCAGAAGATGCATTCTCACTGTCGGGATTCACCAATCTCCCAATTGCATCTGTAACCTACGGATTATTCAATGTTGTTGTTGTTATAGATTCAGCTACTCGAAACAAGTTCCAAGCAGCACGGGCTACGGTGAGCCCGTAACTTACCTGGCACAGGAGCGGTGCTGTGTGTTGGGATTATTCAGATTGATTGATGAAGATTAAACCACCCAAGAGGTGGCACGGGCATGAATAGCCCGTAAGGGATTATTCAATTGATTGATTGCTTATATAATCGGTCCACACCTCACCATCCTCTAGCAGGTAAGGAAGAGGTATGAATTTGCAGTTAGTGGATTAAGTAGATTTAACAAACCCATCTCATTATCTGCACATAAGCTAATAAGTTTGGAGCAAGTATATTACTGACATAATATACTTGATAACATATGAAATTGTGTTTTTACACTTCAGAGTTTTTCAGTTGCAATTTAGCTGAATTTACCTGCAAGGGCCACTAACACACTAGTGGCCTTGACGAGGACAGGAAGCCGGCGGCTTGTCAAAAGTCCCCAAAGGTAATGTCGAATGCTCTATGTATTCACCCAGTTGTGCTTGCGGGGGTTGAACTCTGCTCTTTTGGCCCGCCTCTCGATTATCAATCAATCAACTGTTACTACTATTTTTATTTTTTTTCACACACACACACACACACACACACACACACACACCGTTGAGAGGCGGGACCAAAGAACCAGAGTTCAACCCCCGCAAGCACAACTAGGTAAGTACACAGAGGAAGCAGCCCGTAACAGCTGTCTAACTTCCAGGTACTTATTTACTGCTAGGTAACAGGGGCATCAGGGTGACAGAAACTCTGCCCATTTGTCTCTGCCGGTGCCGGTAATGGAACCCGGGCCACAGGATTACAAGTCCCGCGCGCTGTCCACTCAACTACCAGACCCCCAATCATCTAGGGGATCCCCTTCCCTATATGGGAGGGGATCCCTATATGTGGGAGACATACGGAGACAGACAGGCAGAGAAATACAGACATGGGGGGGGGGGAGAGAGATATTGATTGATTGAGACCCGGGCAGTGCTGGGTACCCTGTTTTGTTTTACTACCAGTATATGTTACGGACCCGAGCCCAGCGTCCGAGCACGGAGCAGTGACGACCGCGCCATCTGTGGGTCAGCTCCCGAAACCCCCTCCAAATGGACGACGCCATCTAGTGAGGACGAGATATACTGGCAACAAGGGCTAGTTTCCCGTCCTGATCAGCTCATAACACAGCCGCTGCTGACCTCTGGTGAGGTGGAGCTTAGACAGCAATGCCATCTATGGAGTGGATAGGTGGGCGTTTGTGTCTAAGCCGGTAAGTGAGGTGCCCTAGAGTGTCCCTATTACTGATGACGTGTCTGATTACAGAGTCGACCTGGGACTGCTGTAATGGAAGTTGGATCAGTCTACCCAAGGCAGCCGAAGACTCTCCACGTGTTTGCTGCAGCAGTTGTGAGTCACCTCCCGGATGAACACTGTGGTGTTAGCCTGCCTGTGACGTGGCAGCTGAGGAATTGTCGTACCCGGGACTGACTGGTGGAGAAGATTAACCACTGGGGTGTTTTGGTGAGGAGAGTGATCTGTGTAATCACACGAGGCTCCTGCCTAGGGCTCGCAACCCTAGTATCGGTCGTGGAGTGGCCTACGCAGCGTTGCTGATTGGAACCTGCCAGCTACAGGCTGGATTTGTGGTTGACGGCCTCCACGACGGTGCCCCCAGTGGAACTGTAATTTGGCTGGCCTGTGGCCAGGGTAGACTCAAGAGAATCGAAGGATTCATCGTGAGGCCACAAGAGGACCAAGAGCTTAGCATCGTTGAGCACCGTGGAACACTCCGCGTCTTCAGAGGAAGACCAGATTGTATATAATAGTGTTTATACCTCCCCCGTGTGATAAGATATATATTATTTATGGTGATGGTGATGATTATATTATTAAGTTTTTGCCTTTGTCTCCCTTCCCCTTTAATTTACTTTCGTTACGGATCACATCCCTTGAAAGCCACTACTAGCTTGGGGCCGGATACCCTACCTCTAACAACATCAGAGAAAGAACCCAGTTGCGACCCGAGAGGGCCGTAACAGTATATTTACCTGAATTTACCTGAGGGCCATTATGTCCCTAGTGGCCTCGACGAGGACATGAAGCCGACGACTTGTCAAAGGTCTCTCCTTCCCCCCCCCCCCACGTTTGTAACTAATGATTTTATCGAGCTGGATTTTAAAATTGCAGTAGTGTTTTGGCATTTACGGCTTCGGCGGGTAGGCGGTTCCATGATTTTATAACCCAGTGGGCCAAAAGGCATCTCTCTTTTTCTATCGTATCGTGGCTTGTTGAATTTGAAACCGTTCCTCCTTGTTTATTTTACATTTAATCTTTTGAAACATTTGTCTGGATCAATATCCTCAAAATTGTTAAGTATTTGAAACGTTTCGATGAAATCATCCCGGTTATGTCTGGTTTGCAATGTTGTTATCCTTGTGGCCCTCAGCCGTCACTGGTGTGAGCATTTTTGTTGCCCAGTGTTGAACTTTCTCCAAAGCAGCTCTTTCTGAAGATGATGTCGCCATGCTTGGATACAATAATCCAAGTGGGGGTGCAAAAGTGATTTATACAGTTAATAACCGACTTCTTGATGATCTTTTCCAGCTGTACTTTAAATGTTAACAGAACTATGGCATTTACGGCTTCGGCGGGTAGGCGGTTCCATGGGTTTATAACCCCTGTAGGCGAAGAAGCATCTGTTCTCAGCCCTACATTGTGGCTTGTTGAGCTTGAAACCGTTGCTCCTTGTTTGTTTTACATCTGACATTTTGAAGAAATTTTTGGAATCAACATCCTCCAAATTGTTCATTATTTTATAAGTTTCAATGAGACCCGCCCTGTCATACCTGGATTGCAGTGTTAGGACTATAGGCCCTCCGCAGTTCATGTTAAGTGAGTTTACTTAGCTCTGGAATAATTTTTGTTGCCCGGTGTTGCAGTTTTTCCAGAGCACTTATTCTTGGTTTTCTTGCTTGGATTCAAATGGGGGCGCATCAGAGATGTATACAACTGAATCACAACCTTCTTTTCCTTAAAGTCAAAGGGGAAGGGAGCTATCAGGAGGAGTGCCAAGCCATTACAAATATATAGCACTGGGAAGGGGTCAGGATGTGGGATGGGACGGGGAAAAGGAATGGTGCCCAACCAACTTGGACGGTCGGGAATTGAACGCCGACCTGCATGAAGCGAAACCGTCGCTCTACTCCTTAAAGTCAAAGGTACGCTTGATTATTCCAAGTATTTGGTTAGCTTTTTTTCACTGCTGCCCCTATCTGCTGTGCAAACTATTAATTATAGGGCAATCACATATATAGCAGTAAAGAGTACAGTATGTCCTAGCTCATGTTTACATAATTTACAATTACAATGTTCACTTGGGGGATTCATTACCTGCAGCCACTTGCCATAGATATCGATATCCCAGCCTAATTCTGGCAATTACAATGTCACTGGTGGATGGACAGGATGTGCAGTACTCCACCTCTTCACTTAGCGCATTCCAGTTATTCACTATTCTTTCACGTCTCCGTGGTGTAGTGGTAAGACACTCGCCTGGCGTTCCGCGAGCGCTATGTCATGGGTTCGTATCCTGGCCGGGGAGGATTTACTGGGCGCAAATCCTTAACTGTAGCCTCTGTTTAACGCAACAGTAAAATGTGTACTTGGATGAAAAAATGATTCTTCGCGGCAGGGGATCGTATTCCAGGGACCTGCCCGAAACGCTACGCGTACTAGTGGCTGTACAAGAATGTAACAACTCTTGTATATATCTAAAAAAAAAAAAAATTATTTATAATATCAATGACGTTTGCAGATGACGAGTCACAATAACATGGCTGAAGATATGATGGACAAAACACACATCAGAAAGTGAAGTTTGTTACTTGGTCTCAACTCTTGTCCACTTATTCATGGACTACGCACTCCAAATAATGTCATTTTTTGCTCTATCAATTACCCAAATGTTTTTGCATTTGATGATTTTTTCCCTTAACTCTTCAGTTTTCTGTTGACTTGAGGTTTAATTCATTAAATAGTTTCTCATAACTCGTGCCTCACTACTCTGGTACTAATCAAGTGGCATACATCTAAACTTTATCTGGCTTCGCTTTGTGCTAACAAGATTGTAACCCCACATTGGTACCATAGATTCCAATAAAGGTCTGATATGATATACAGTACCATATAAGGTCTTAAGTGACTCCATATTCATGTTTCTGAAATTTATGTTGGCTACCCTTGCATATGCAGTTGATTATAATCATTTAATATGGGCAGCTCAAACCGTTTCCATTACATTGTTTCAATATAATGGATTTTTTTTTTTTTTTGCAAGTAGACAAAGTATACAAACCTTATACAAACTTTTAGTGTCATGAAGAATTAAACTATTTTTACAACTGTGTTTAACCCTCGGGCGGTGCAGCTATTAATTATGGCACCTTTATATTGTAATTAGCATCTCTTAAAAAAAATCTGAATATAGAGCATTACTTGCAGAGTATGCGCATGTAATGCAAGAGTAAGGTTCTCGACCATTAGATAAGATTACTGCAAGGATGAGAAAAGCAAAATGGAAATGGGGTTTATTATATGGCATTTTTTACAGTCACATGTGCAAGATGTTCCTGTGAATGGGGTGAAATGTCATCATATAGTCTTCTCCGATTTTTATTTTCCAGCAAAATACACAGCTGGAAAATTTAATACAAATGAGAACACCCTAAATGAGAACACATTTAGGGTGTTCCATTTATGTAAGGGTAAATGTGTCTAGAACCATGCAGCATGTAGTTCATAACTGTTTACTTTTTCTTTGGCTTAGGTGTTTGTAGTCATAATGGCCAACCAAGCAGAAGAGAATGATGTTCTCCAGAGTCTCCTCGACACATTCAACACTGGTCATGGTATGTCTTTCGTTATTGTTAGTTGAAGTGCAACAAGAATTGCAACAAACTTTAGGTGTAATTAATTACTTCATAAAATATAATTTATTTAACTTCAAGTTATCCTGTTCTCTGATATTCTGGGTAAACATTATATCATTATTATTGGATATCAATATCTATGGCAGGTGGCTGCTGGTAATGTATCCCCCAATGGTGAACATTCCAATTGTAAACTATGTGAACAGGAGCTCCAACACTATATCTGTGATTGCCCTGTAATCCATGATTTCATACCAAATGGTATGAGGTATTTTGAGCTCTGTAACTACTTCGTAAATTCATGAATATTGGAAGATATTCTTATGCTGCACCAAGAGTTTGCTGGTGGAGGCTAATAGATCAGCCTTTCACTGCATGTTAACCTCCCTGATTCCATGTATGACTAACCATCATGTGAGAGGAAAATATTAGATGAACTTATAGCTAATTTTTTTATCTACTCTTTATAATCTTTCATATGGAATAGGGTAGCAGCACATTGCTATGTATACCTAAGCTTATTGATAAAAAAATATTTGTTAAAACTACTGTATTTAAACATTTACAAGAAAGTAAGAATGAGTCACAATACAATGTTCATGTGCAAATTACATTCTTGTAAAGTACTAATAATTAATATAGGCATAAATTGAGTGTTGTAGCAATTTGTATGATACAAGAAGTGCCACAACTTAAATAAAGTTCTTAAAATAGTAATTGAAGTACAGTTCTTCATTCTCAACTCACAATCAGGGATCCAGGGTTCAATTCCCAGACAGGACAGAAATTATTAAGAACATTTCCTTTCACCTAATTCCTTCACTAATCTAGCAGTAAATAGGTACCTGGGTGCTTGACAACTGTTGTTGGGTTGTCAACTCCTTACCTGGGGATAGTCAGTAGTTCAGCCTTGAAAGTAGGGGAGGATCTTGATACATGCCTAAATCATATATATACATGGACTTCTTGTCCTCAACAAAAATTATCATCATTATTATTATAGCAGTTGCACTTCAAGCAATGCTCTGTTCCCAGCTGTCACTACAATTAGAGTGTACAAGAAAGGTCTAGCCTAAAGTAACTTAACCAAACTTATCCCAGAGTAACCTAATCTAGCCTAAAGTAACTTAACCTAGCCCAAAGTAACCTAATCCAGTCCAGAGTAACTTAACCTGTCTCAAAGTAACTTAATCTAGCCTAAAGTAGCCTAACCTAGTTCAACGTAATCTAACATAACCCAAAGCAGCTTGTCTTAGCCCAAGCAATCCCATCCCAGCCCAAAATAACTCGCTCAAAGCTAACCCAACTCATTTTTTCACTGTATAAGAGATTTATTGCAGGCCATCATGCTAATAAACCCCCCTATCCTCTTAATCTTATGAGGACTGTTGTCCCTACCTCATAAAGATGATGACTGAAGACTGTTTTCATTTGCCAAAGAGTTTCTACAAAGCTCATAAGCTTCATTAACACAAACCATAATGCATAATGTGTCCGCAGTTGTGCTGTCAATGGATGAGGTGTCAGAGAGTGCGGTTGGTGTTATGAACAAGGAACCTAATGGCAGGTGTGTTCTCTGTCCTGTGTGAATCATGCATTATATTTTGGGTTTTATGTCTTGTAAACCATATTTCATATTTTTATTATATTTTGAACATTTCTTTGGATGCCATTTTAAACCATATTATGGAGCTTCTCTTGTTGAAAAAACCCAGCATTGAATGTAATGAAATGCCAGTTTCTGGGTAAGTCCCGGAGGCTCCCCGGAGCTATCCAGGCTGAATGGATATGTACAACTTTCTGGCATCAGTCAATGTGCACAGAGTTCTTACCTACCGGATTCCATGAGCCAGAACCTGGCCCCCTCAAGAGAGGCACAAAGAGCAATGGCCTATAGAAACCCCCCAGTGTGGTTGGGAGCATTCTGTGTCTGCCATTGACCGGATCTAGCACCCAGAAAGGTAGGCGCCCCAAAGCAAACCCCTATTCTGGTGAAACTATTTGTACCGAAAGACGAACGAGTGGACAGAACTCCCCAAACGAAAATTAGCAAATGAGCATGACGTTGTCATGTCACTGCACCACTGTCTGTGCAACCCCCCCCCCTTCCCTGGGAGGGAGAAAGGGAGCCCCAGACCCCCACGCTGGCGATCCACCCTTCAGTTCTTAGGCTGCATGTCAAAATATGCAAAAACACCGCCAACCAGAGGGAGGGATGCCGGGGAGCCTCCGCGACTCGCCCAGAAAATGGCTTTTTATTACATTCAACGCTGGTTTTCTAGGGGGGGGGGAAGCCCTGTCTGCTCCCCAGAGTGGAGCTGGAGTCAGTCCTCACTCCTCAATGCGAAGCAGAGACAACTGGCTGCAACCGCCGACCCAATGCAATGCAGGTCCTACGAGGACCAGGGACATTGACTAGGTAGCGAGCAGCCAGGACCCTGTTCGACCTCCAAAAACCCCATGCCTGAATGTCAACCCAAGACATGTTGCCAAAGACGGCAGCCAAAGCAGCAAACTTACGCACGTCATGGGCATGAAGATAAACCGCAGGCTGGCTAGCCTTAATAATCCTGCGGACGACCTGGGAGACCCGAGCCCAGGAATAGGGAAGAAGGGAAACCGGATCAACCCAAAGCTCATCCCTGGCCACCGAAGTCATGGCGCGCAAATAATGGCGGAGAGCCGCAACCGGACACAACACATAATGCACCCCAGGCCTGACCAACCAAGCATAAACAATCCAAGGACTCCTCCGGAAAGCAGCAGTCTCATTCTTCACCAGAAAAGGAGGAGACGGCTGCAACCGAACAAACCTACCACCAGGACCAAAAGAGCAGAAACCCTCTGCGCCGGATGAGAGCATGAAGCTCCCTGACCCGACCCCCAGAGGCCAATGCCAACAGGAAAAAGAGCCTTGGAAAAACAATCCTGAACCGAAGGGGCCACCACAAACTGAGGAGAAGTGAGGAAAGAGAGCACCAGGTCCAAGGACCAGGAGGGCTTGGGCGACGCATGAGCAGGCCGGAGGTGAAACAATGCACTAGACAACTTGTGGAATGGAGCAGATGTATCATCAATACCGAACGCAAGCTGGAGCGGCTCCGCCAGCGCTGCACAATAGGAGGCGACAGTATTCAGCATAAGATGACGGTCTTGAAACAACCACAACAGGAAGGACAAAACAACCCTATCAGAGACCGAAGTATACCTACGTGGTGATAGGAAAAACTGGAAAGATCTCCAGGAAACCTCATACTGCCGCCGAGACGAGGCACGCAGATGGGAGACCAACAACAAAGCCACCTGCGCCCCATAGAAATGGTGATTAGACCCGAGTCAGAAAGACCAGACACGAAGACTCGAGGAGAAGAGCGAACCAGCCTCATAATGGGCAGGACTGATCCCCTGAAAGAGGAGGATCCATGGGAAGACCCTTGGGTTTGGACACCAAGCAAGCAGTGCCTGAAACCATGGCTGGGCCAGCCACCAAGGGGCCAAGAGGACTACTCTCCCCTGGTAAGTCTCCAGGTGCTCCAAGGACTTGGAGCAACAGCTGAACCAGGGAAAGAGGTACAGGTAACCCCACCTCGCCCAGTCCTGCCTGAAGGCATCGACCCCAACTGCCTTGCAGTCGGGAAAGGGCGCCATGTATACCGGGAAATGCCTCGACCACACCGACGCAAAGAGATCCACTTCTGGAGGCTTGAACGTCCAGCAGAGCCAACGGAACGAGTTGGCATCGACCATCCATTCTGTGGACAGGGGAATGAACCGGGACGGGCTATCCATGGGGACATTGGACACCCCCCGAATGTGAACCACCAGGAGAGCCAAACTCCGAGAACTCAGCAGACGAGTCACCCGAAACGATCAGCCCTAAAAGAGCCAAGGAACACATCGAACCCCTGCTGTTCAGGCAGTGAACCACCGGGGAACAATCCGAATGGAACCGGACTGTCGATCTGCAAGAGACCCAAATCCTCCGGAGTGATATCCACACAGCCATGAACTCCCGCGTCGTGCTGTGAACCCGACAGAGGGATGAAACCTACCACCCTGGACGGTCTGGTGAGTACTGGCCACAAAGCCCCAGCCAAGAGACGACGCGTCTGTGAAACACATCGAGCAAGGGCTCGGGTAGGCACCAAGGCATTAAATCCCGAAAAACCCAAAGAGGAAGCTGGTGATGCAGCAAGCGATGCAAGGCCCCCAGAGGCCGAACCCAGCGGTCGCGAGAGGGGCAGAAGGGACTTCCCAAAAGGAACCAGAACAGCCGATGAAGGCACACCCGACCCAGCGGGTCGACCATCATGGCAAAATTCAGGCTTCCGCACAAACCCTCGAGCAACCGCCACGTTACCCGGGAGCCCCTCAGAAACAGATGGAGGCGGGAATGCAGACGAAGCAGAGCCGCAGGAGGAAGAAACAAGGAAACGGTCTGAGCATCCCACACAAGACCCAGCCAAGAACGAACCTGAGAGGGAACCAGATGGGACTTCCGCCAGTTCACCAAGAACCCGAACCTGGCGAGCTGGGAAAGGACAAAATCCCTCGTGAGCAGACATGCGGACAGGCTGGGAGCCCAAACCAGCCATTCGTCAAGGTAGGCCAGAACCCGAATACCTACCAGACACAGGCGGGCCACCACGACCGAAGCCAGCAGGTTCTGCATACGTAAGTCCTCTGCGACCAATGCAGCCGAAAGGGAAAGAATCTGCACATAAAGTGCATCACACCAACATCCTGCGGACAGCGGCGAACAAGCACCCATTGAGATGCTCAAATGCCCCCCCCAGGAAAACCTGCAGTGCCGTCTAAGCGGCACTGCAGGTTTCGGGGCAGTTTCGGGTCATCCAGAGAAGCAACTAACCTAGCACGTTACAGCAACCTAAACCTAGCATGCAATGCAGCTGCCACCTGCACACTCATATCATGATCAGTAGCTTGGGTGAACTGGAACACGTACAAGCAACATATTACACACAACTCCGGGTCAAAAGAATCGCCGACCCAACAGGCAGCATAGTGGAGGCATAACCGGTGATTGTCCCCCAAGAGACAAGGGGACAGAGCAACCTTCCGACTTGCACGAAGTGAGAGGGGACTCAAGGGTCACATCTATTGGACCACTGAGCCCCAGCCAGGTTTCCCAGAGCCCTTAGCCATATTAACACGCTAAGGGAAGCCCTGGCAGGGTACTGCGAACCGGCGCCCAAGACTACCAAACAATCTGCTAACAGCTGAACCCCTGGGACGTGTCCACTCACAGGGGCCTAGCAAGGGGTACCACCAACTGTGCACAAGCTGAGAATATATATAATGATAGATATATACACCCCAACACTGAAGGGGCAACCACCAAGGCAGACCCCCTCACCAGGCAGAAAAACAACAGCAAAACCCCACAAGAGGAGAACGTACCCAGGTGGAACTGAGCTGGCCACTGTAAGAGATTAAAACTAGCTGTGCAGTACCCCGCACCCCTGCCAGTGATGAAAACTATCCCCTACCAAAAACACAGGCAACAAAGACCCCAGTTGACTTCATGGGTGGCCAAGTACTGAGCAGTAAAAGATACAGCGGGGTTAGATCCCGAGGTGACTCGTGGAAGGTGGCCTCAAGCCCCAAGGGTTGTATTTACAGGGCACCTAGGGAAAGTGGCCCTAGGCGCATGCAGCCCGAGTACCGAAGAATATTACTCCTGGCTCGCACACCACCAGTTGAGACAGTCCACGCCACAAGGCACAGAATCCGAGACAAATTGCTGAAGTCAGAGGCACAAGACCGCACCAGTAGCACATCAGACTGAGAACTGAAGGGTGGATCGCCGATGTGGAGGTCTGGGGCTCCCCCTTCTCCCTCCTGGGGAGGAGGGGAAGGGTTGCACAGACAGCGGCGCGGCGACATGATGTCATGTTTGTTTGCTAATTTTCGTTTGGGAAGTTCTGTCCTATTGTTCGGCTTTTGGTAGCAATAGTTTCACCAGAATTGGGGTTTGTTTTGGGGCTCCTACCTTTCTGGGTGCAGGATCCGTTCGATGGCAGACATAAAATGCTCCCAACCATATGGGAGTTTCTACAGGCCATTGCTCCTCATGCCTCTCTTGAGGGGGGCCAGGTTCTGGCTCATGGTCCCCAGTACGTAGACAAGAACTCCGTGCACATTGCCTGATGCCAGAAATTTATACATATCCATTCAGCCTGCATAGCTCCGGGAAGCCGACGGGGTTCCCCCCAGAAATACTAATTTATTGTTAGTTTTAATATAATAACTCAAGTCAGTTTTTCCTTATACCCTTATTTGGTATCCTTTATGTAGATCAATATATTGGTAGTGCTCAAAAATTAGTTTACAAAATGTGTATTGTAAATAATCTAATGAACAGATAAAGATTCACGAGGCAGCGGAGGTCGGTGACGAGGGTTTACTACGGGAGATTGTGAACAGACGACCCGAGGCGCTTGGTTTCCTGGACAAAAATGGCAACACACCTCTCCACCTGGCTGCTAAAGGCAACCACATTGACTGTTGCAGAATTCTTTTGGAAGTCAGCACCAAGGAAGTTAACATAAAAAACAAAGCTGGTAATTCCTCACTTCTATTGTCGATAGCCACCGGAAACAAATCTACAGAGCTAACAAAATTACTCATTAACAAGGGATCAAAGTTTGATACAAAAAACAAAGGTAAACAAACAGCTCTACACATAACATCTGAGAAAGGTAATGTTGAAATACTGAAACTGCTCCTTGAGTATGACAAAAGCTGCATAAACGATAAGGATTCGGAAAAACTGACGCCTCTACATGTGGCAGCCAAAAATGGACACTGGATAGCTTGCATTGTGCTTGTTGAGGCAGGTGCAAATTTAGAAGACAAAGATGCCAATGGCATGACACCACTTCACTGGGCTGCTAAAATGGGTTTCACTGAATGTTGTAAGAAGCTGCTGGAGCACGAGGCTTCTATTAACAATAAAAATAATAAAGGGAACACCCCACTCCATTTATTGTGTGCATCTGGAAAGGAAAAACCGGAGTGTGCCAAGCTGCTGATTGATCATGGAGCTGATGTTAATGTCCAGAATAACGTGGGTGAGACACCATTTCATCTTTCCCTTCGCTCACACTTCAAAGTATCAGAGGTTTTCCTTGGTCAGGATGTGAATTTATTGTTGACTGACAAGCAAGGCAGAACAGTTTTGCATTTTGCTGCAGAAAGGCATAATTCAGACTACGTTGAGCTAGTAATGAAAATGGAAGGAAGTTCAAAAGACTTAATCAACAAATTAGATGACCAAGGAAAAACAGCTTTACATATAGCCATTTCTAAAAAAGTAATTGATACATGTAAATTTCTGATAAGACGTGGTGCAGATGGCACCATTTCCTGCGGTAGAGTTGGCACGGCTCTACATATGGCAGCACGTTATGGCCTGGATGATATCTGTGACTATCTCATTACCAAGGGTGTCAAGGTGGACATAAAGAACAGTGAGGGATTAGCACCACTACATATAGCAGCAAAAGAAGGCCATAAAGAATGCTGCAAGGTGCTATGCAAGAGAGGTGCTTTTGCAGCTATCCGTGATGGTGATGAAATGACAGCTCTCCACCATGCTGCCAAGGGCAAACATTATGCCTGCTGTGAGATATTAAAAAATCAACTATATTTAGTTAACTTGGTAGATAAGCATAAAAGAACTCCTCTACATGTAGCTGTGGAGGTTAATTCCTTGGATTGTTGCAAGGTTTTATTAACACCTAAAACAGATATTTGGGCAAAGTCCTTCAGTGGAAGTCCTGTAAAGTTGGCGTGTGATGGACGTTACCATGATATCTTAAGGCTTCTTTTATGTCATAGAAGTGTTAACAGAAATTACAGTGAAAAGGACATTAATTTCCAGGACCTTCTTGAAAAGTCATTGGAACGTCAAGATAGGTAAGACATTATTACCTTTTTTTTAGTTACAGGTAGAGAGCTATACATGTGGTATCCTGTCCTAGTGTATTATTTTTACCAAATAAGTTTAAAGCTATCAGTGATTTTTGTCCACACCACCATCTCCTATAGTTTATTCCAGATAGCTACAAATATATTATCCGATTCTTTCTGGAGGAGTCTTATGGTGGCTCCATGAAACCATCTCGCTGAGATAGCTCCTCTCTACTGTGTCACATCAGCCATTGGAGTCCTGTATTATGGCCTACTGGGGACTACAGCCAGAACCTTTCCCCTCTTACAAAGCAATGGGGAGCAGAGGGATTGTTATGATCACCCTCACTGATGAAATATCCAGAAAGTAAGCAAAGCAATACAGACAACTGCAAGGTTCAAAGAATACAAAGCACTGAAACAGTCACAAGACTAGACAAACAATTCACTCAGACAAAAGTGATTCCCTCAAAACTTGCTTGAACCCCCTAGATGCCAATGGTTGCCAATAGGTGGCTTCAGGGTTCCACCTCATCTCTGACTTGGTCCTGTCCCTAATGTTTGTGAATTCAGAGCTCCGAGAGTAGCCAGCTGTAGCAAGTTCCACCTTTTTTCAATGTAAGTGTAGGCCAACCTTTTGATTCTCCTGTGGGGAGATTTGCTTGTGCACTGTTCCTAACCTTTAGTAATTTGCTTCATGTATGTGTATTTACAAGCCTCAGTTGTTGAGTGGACTTGGGTCTATTTTATGCTTTGAGCTGCATGTGTTTAGGGCAGCCATTCCCTAATTGTTCATTTAGAATTGCCCCTAAACTAAGAGTGACTTCTTTTGTGTGTTCAGTAGTTTTCCCTTGAGAGGCTAGGGTACTTTGTAGAAAGCCTTCCCCCTGAGTAGTACACAAGTTTTTGACTCCTATGTGAAGCCCTGTGTTTGGGAGCATTTTGTTGTAAGGTGCACTAGGTTTGCCATGTGAATAAGAGCACCGCTGATGCATTTTGTATCAAAGTTTATCCTGTACTACTACTAATAATAATAATATTTTAATTATATAAAAGTACTGTATATATTTCATACATGATTGAGTGGAGAATTCATACATAAGAAATGTACATTACAGAACGTCATTAATACGCTGCGTGCCTCGATCATAGCGCAAAGATAATTAGGTGATTTGTTTAAAAGTTTACTGGGGTAATGCTTAAAACTAAATGAAAAGTTACCATTTTTTAAGCCGTGGTTTTGGCCGTGGTCTCCGGTAGGCCCTAGAGCTCCATACACATGACTGATGCCAAAGTCTGACATTAGTATATCAGCTTGGTATAGCTCCGGGGAGCCTCCAGGTCTCACCCAGAAAATGGCGTTTCATTACGTTCAACACTGTTTTTTTTAGTTATGATTTGTTAAATTTTTTTTATTTTCTGAGTAAGTGTAATTAGATGGTAAGGATAGAAAAAATTGACCAAAATGATGCCAGTAGGTACAGCTTCAGCAACAGAACTAAGGTGGCGAGTCAACTGAGGTCTGGGGCCGGGTCCCTGGAACTGTTTGTTTTATGGAGGATGAGGGAACTAGTTTGTATAGTAGATCCAGAGGCAAAAACAGGGACTTAGGATGCTGCTTTTAAGTCAGCTGTTCAGAAGTCGAGACCCATCGTATAGCATGTGATACCCTGTGTGCAAGTTTTAAGAGATTCCTCACATGACATCTTTCTTGGTTATTTTGAGATGATTTCAGGGCTTAGCATCCCTGTAGCCCGGTCCTCCCCTTTTCGTTACACATTACCAAGAAGCAGCCCGTAGCAGCTGTCTAACTCCCAGGTATCTATTTACTACTAGGTGAACAGGGACATCAGGGTGAAAGAAACTCTGCCCATTTGTTTCCGCCTCCACCGGGGATCAAACCCGGTGGAGGACTACGGAACCTTAAGACTACGAATCACAAGCAGTCCACTCAGCTGTCCTACCCATAAATCTGAAATAAAAAGAGGAAATGGTGATATTTGAATCCATCCTGTACCATTATCAAGTCATCAATTCTTTTATTTTCAGATTTGTGGGTAGGTTTCAGCCACATTATTGTGACTTACTGTCTGCATTCCTCACATTATGCAGTTATCATCTTTTGTATTTACACCAAACTTATCCAGAAGAAGGTCTAAGCCACTGACTTCCTGAGGATGACGAGTAGACCTACCAATTCCCTATTTTGTTATATTGTATGAAATCTCTGAATACTATCTTGCTATCTCACTTTCTAACAGTACATAATTATATTGTAACTAAATTATATTTTATGCATTTATTACTTCAGTATGTTAAAAAAAAAATAGGGGTGCAGCTACTCATCACATAGTGTAGTGCAGTAGTTTAAACTTCTCCGGTTGTAGTACACCTATGTGGACTCCAGTTTATAGCCGACAGGTTAAGCACAATGGAAGTGTTGCCACTTTTGTTCCTCTAAAATAATTGAGAGCCTGAAAATAAATGAATCACTAATAACTGTCTACTCCTGTTCTGGCCATTTATTCATACTGAACTATTTGACTTTGTATTCACTGTGATCACTTCTAACCCTCATTTTCAGCTGATTTAAAATTATAATATTACACTGAACTGTCACTTTAGTGTTTACGTGGATTTCTGATGATGTGTTTACTCACGGGTCATTTACTTAGCAGAATTTTAGGGAAATTAGAGTATGCTAATTTTCATGGGCCTATTCCCACACCTTAATATTCATTAAATTACATTTCTCCTATGCTGAATTCCCTAACCTGGGAAGGTTCTAGTGCAACTTAACCCCTAACATCAAGCTATGGATTTACATGCATGTCTGCCAATGCACCAAAAAATTCAGCAAAATCCTCTTCCTTATACCTGTAAAATGATTAATATAATGCAAAATTTACGAAAAAGTGGAAATAAAATGAATATCTACATTGTAGCTGGTTTTGTACAGTGAATAAGTTGAGGATGTGGTGGCCCAGCCTATCTGTCAACACTTGACTAGCTCTCGGTGTTAACTTTGTATGTCTAAACAATCAGTTTTACACTGACATGCATGTATCAGCAAGAACATACGAACTAAGAAACTGCATAAGGCCTATTGGCCCATACAAAAGTAGCTCTTATTTATTATCGTGGAAATAAATGGAAGCTGCCTTATAGCCCATACTAGGCAGCTCCTATTTATATCCTGACAAGTGTCATTCATATTGTAACAAACTAGGCTGTTGTAAGAATTATTCCAGAAGGTTCCAGAAGTTTCGTGTAGGGACCTGACCTCAACAACGCACATTCCTCTGGGGATTAGCAGGTCTGAGTCACAAATGGCGGGCGTCTCTGTTCATAGTTGCGTATAATGAATCATCCTATAGTATTCAGTAATTTAGAAAAATTAGCCTTTATTCATTTTGTATTAAAATTGTATTGTATAATATTCTTGGTTATAGTACCAAGAGTTCTAATTATTAGGAGATTTGAGTTAAGTCACCATCAGTGACGTCACGAATCAGATCTAAGTTGTAAGGCGCGAGTGACTGGCGGTCATAGGTCATCAGAGTTGACATGTCCACTATTTCTCAAAGTTCAAATAACCATTTTGGTGGTCGGGAACAGCTCTGCCGTTAGATGCTTGTGTAATTTAACTTCAGACTTCAGTAAAATAATTCAACCAGTCTGGATCAATTAAGTACAACAGAGGTTAATTGTTATAACTTAAACCTGGCTAAGTAACTTGGTAAGCGATGCGGAACAATACAATGCTCTAGTCTGGGGAAGACCAGAGAGAGGGAGATCAGTGTGGACGCGAGATCAACTGGGAGAGGTCAACCATCTTACCTCCCCCAAGACCAGCCCCAACATCTTTAGCTGGTCGCCCAAGGTAGAGTTGCTGTATGAGTTTTTATAGGGATAGTCAACTCATTGCCGTTCAGGTCAAGTAGGGAGTGAACATCTTTAGATTTTGTTTTAGTTTTTCTTTTAATAAATTAATTAGTTAATAAATTGCATTTTTATTATTTCCATGTGTATGTTCTATTTAGATGAATTTGTCCGGGTCACGTGGTCCCTACGAGGCAGAGTTGAATTGGGCGCCGATTCTAACACCAAATCGGAAGTCATTTTTACCGTGTAATTTATTCCACACTCAAGGTCATCGGTTATAGTGGGGATCAAGCCCCAAGGTTGATTAATTAGCATGATCGATCCAGACCTCGATCATTGCCCTGTGTTACTGGTCTGGTGGTGGCGGCGGAGGCGACTCTAGGGTTTTGCTCAAAGCCTATGTCACGTCATACGGGTTGTAGAATCCTAAGTCGGTCAATCGTCTTAGGACCACGTGGCGTGGAGTCGGCTTTAGTAAAAGTTTTGGAGTCCCTTGTAGAGAATAAAAAGTAAGAATACGGGTAGAGAAAGAGTAGAAGGAAAGATAATTCGAGAAACCCTCCCCCGTGTTACAATATATATATATACTGTATGGTTTTATTTACCCACATGAGGCAACCCCTATTTATATCATCCTAAGCTCATTCATATATGAGCCAATAGGCCTTCTGCAGTTCTTTTATTAGGTTCAAATGATTGGTTAACTTGGTGTACAGTACTTCATTACAACCAACCATAACTTTGAAAACCATAGGAGCATAATCAGTATACGTACCATTTACTGTAATTATAAAGGAATTTTTATGCCATGATTACTGTATTAGTATAGTAACATTTGCAACAATAACCACCTTTGCGATTTAGTATAAAAACGAAATACTGTATAGTGGAACCTTAGTTGCTTCGCCTCGCTTGGCGAGTTTGTTGATACATGTATGGGTCGACTGAGTGTGTGGTTCCTGGTGGCACGGGCAAGGCGCACATCAGTTTACCTGTGTCTCCCACCTACTGACAATTGTGCTTGAATTCTTTGTGCAGAATTTAATTGTTTTTGTGCTTTTTTTAGTTTCTGAACATAAAAGTAATTATTATATATCACGCCATGGGTTCCTAGAAAGTCAGTGGTAAAGTTCAACCTAAGAAAATAGTTGAGTAGAGGCAATAGAGGATGTTCCTTCCTCATTAAGAAAATGTGTGCAGTATGGGAGGAACTGCAAAGTTTTGCTGATAAAACTCGCCCAGATAAAGCTGTACCAGGCTTTTGCATTGACCTTTTTAATGAAAGTGTGATATCTCATTACAGACAATTGTTAAAATGTAGGGAACAACAATGTGTCTTTAGACAGATTCTTAGTAAGACAAGCAAGCAGTGAACCTCAACCAGGTCCTAGCCTACAAACCATAGGAGAGAGAGTACCCCAGAAATCTTATCAGTGCCTGATGTTATAACGGAAGGGGACTTCCCTTCCAAACACCAACACCTCTCCTCACCGTCTTCCATACACCAACAAGAGTCCTCATTAAAGATAAGATATACTTGTACATACTGTAGTACAAAATATAAGTAGTAGTATGTATAAAATGTATTTTTAAGTTACCGTAATCTGTTTCACACCCCCGAAAATATTAATTCAATTTACATTATTTCTTATGGGAAAATTAGTTTTGGTTTAAGAACCGTCTCTTGAAACTGATTAAATTCATAAACGAAGGTACCACTGTAAGTACCATTCTTAAATTTCTTTTATGATCTTCAATTACAGGAAAATGGTGGAAAGTATCATAGACAGCTGCTTCTGGGAGGAAGCTTTCATGCCCTCACAAGAAATTTTAGTGGAAAAGCAGAAGAATGGGAATTTAAGGCTGCTAGTTAAGAACTATCCAGACTTAGTCAAGAGCGTACTGGACAAGTGCATACCAGCTCCAGCCGTTACTGAGTGCGACAAGACGCTGCAAAAGCCACAAAGATGTTACCTAGTGCATTACCTGGATGAGGCATACCCAATACCAGGTATAAAATGTGATTAAAGGGAATTTATTATTGCCATCCAAACACTGTATTTTGTTAATATATGTTCTGGAGTCTTCTTTCAAGCTACCCACAGGTGAACCAGGCATGAGCCTGGTTCACCTCTGCCTTTTTTATATTTTATATTTATTGCATAATATATTTTCTGGGGAGGCTCCATAGTGGCTCCCTGTTGCTGATCACCTGGATAGCTCCACACATGTCAAATTATACAAGGCTCTTATGAGTCATTAAAAACCTACTAGGGACCAGAAGCCAAGTCATGGCTCACCTCACAGAGGTGGAGAGTAGAGGATAACCACCCAAAAGGTAGAACAATACAGAGCAGACAATAGCAAGATAAAGTAAACAAAACAAAAATTGACCTCCCCTACATGAATTAGGATTATTGTATCCAAGCATGGAGACTTGTATTCAGAAAGACATTGGTGCTGAACTTTCTTTAAAGCAGCTGACAACAAAGATCATTCCAGATCTACGTCTACTATCATACCAGGAATTGTTGAGGGGCCACAGAGCCAACAACACTGCAAACTAGACATAACAAGGCTGATCATATCCAAACTTTGAAATATGTTTGATATTGAGCCAGACAACTTTTTCTAAAGGTCAAATGTAACACACACAAGGAGCAATGGTTTCAAGCTCAGCAAGCCACAATGTAGAACAAAACAAGAGATGCTTTTTCACCCATAGGGTTATAAACCCACAAAACCTCACCGAAGCCATAAATACCAAAACACTGAATTTTAAAATCAAGCTCGAAAAATCTTCAGAACAAATGGGGAGACCTTTGACAAGCTGCCAGCTTTCTGTCCTCCTCGAGGCCACTAGAAAGAGTAGCCCTCAGGTAAATCAGACTTGTTAAGAGCTCTCCCTCCCAGAAGTTTTCTGAAGCATGTACCCTATTCCTTTTCTCCAGAGTATGATCTGCTTATCACTTTACAATTATATCCACAATTAATGCTGGGTGCAGTGGTAAATGGTGAAAGAATGGTGCCAAGTCGTCCAGCCCTACACAAAGCTGGAAACCAGGTTATTCTCTGTTGCCAGGCAAGCTGTTGAGTGCTAACCACTGCACCACAGGTTTTTACACCAACTTAAATTAAGAATGTTTTACATCAATTAAAGAAAAACATGTAACAGCATACAACCTCACAAATAATATGCTCGATGAAACTAAACGTAAGATTTGGTATTACTTGTGTTAAACACTTTTAAGATACCCAACTCATCAATTCTTAATTTTCAGATTTGTGAGGTTTTGATCTTTTCTGGACCATTATCAAATTGTGATAATGGTCCGGAATGGACCAAAACATTGTCAATTCCCCATTTTCAGATGTGTGGGATGGGTGATTAATTTTCAGCCACATTATTGTGAATCATTTTGAAATCTTTTAACTGCAGGAAAAGAAGAAAGTGATGATACCAAACAAACAAGACCACAGGACTTACAACCAAGACAGCCTTTTGAAACAGAGTGTGGAGGGTTGGCAGCGGGAGCAATAGTGGCCCCGGTGGACCAGGCCTGGCGTTCCGACCACCTCATGGAGTGGATCCTTCGATACAACCACCACCACCTCCTGCAGCACCCGCTCATCACCTACTGGCTCCGATACAAGTGGCTCAGCTACATCAGAATACATCACTATGTTTGTCTAACTCTGACCTTCCTCTTGGCACTTCTCTTAACAATCTTCACTGCAATATCTTGGTAATTATGTGGCTATTACTGCATGTGGCTTCACTTTTACATCCTGAAAATCACAAAGAAATCTAACAATTTGTGTATACTGACAACTATACAAGAGCCTAATTAGCAAAAGATTTCATGTCATGGTAATAACACTATTAATTTTGTCCAGGTAATTACATAAAGCTCTTAAAGGATATTTGCTTATAATTTTTATTTTGAAATTATCAGGGTAATTCTAGAGGATTATTTCAGGCAGCTCTTCCATATTCTGGTATCATAATTACAGAAGGTTCATGAAAGGTGTATTTTTAAAAGTTGATAATTTTCAGCAAAGTGTACCCTATACAAAAAACAATTGATCACAGCACCAAACTATAACATCACCATTTCATTCTTTTAATTTTTATAGTAGCATACACACATTAGGTTTTGTTTCTCGTTGTTGGGGACAGGAAGCCTGTTAGCTTATCAAGGTCTCCTTAGACCAATGCTTGACCTTCCCCAGGATGCAATCTACAATAGTTGTCAAATTCCTGTGTACCTATTTACTGTTAGACAGAGGCATCAGGTATAAGCAAACATGCCCCAATGTGTGTCCTCATGGGGATCAAACCCAGGACCATTCAGTTGAGCGAACTATATTATAGGATACGATAGGTTGGGGTTGGTTTAAGTTAAATTTATTGGGCCTGGTAGTTTGCAGTTCTAGTAATGCACTAAATTTTGCTTAAACTATTTTTACCTTATCAGTCTTCAGGCTAAATATGCAAGATCTGTTAGGTTATAATTAATATTGTTATCCTGTACAGTTATCTGAATATTGTAGTGCAGTGCTTATTCAATCAACAGTTGCATTTTGCGTTTACAGTCTCCATAAATCACTTACTTCAATGGTTTAAATTAATAATAATAATGATAATAATGATAAAATAAGGTGGCTGTATGATGGGACTGAACCCGCAAACTTGAACTCCTCTGAGCACACGCACCTCTGATTGGATCACGATGGGCTAAAAGTATTTTTACCAGAAATACTACTTGGCTTACTTGGAGTTTAGAATTTACCATCCAGTACCAAACCCTGTGTAAGTCAAGTAGTAATTCTGGGTAATATACTTTTAGCCCATCATGGTCCAATCGGTAGTCCGTGCGTCCAGAGAGTTCAGGTATTCAGGTTCAGTCTCATCACACAGCTACTGTACCATATTTTCTCACAGATACATCATCATGTGCTCTCAAGGTGAATAATGATGTTTGAGATTCGGAAGCATGCATATCTATAGGGCAACAATTAGATTTTGTTCTGTACATCTATATTATAAAGCTCATATTGTATTGTTTATCTAGGGACTGGGCGTATATGGAACACACATACAACCTAACACGATCCTTAGTGTGCCCTCCCGGAGATGAACAGCTTGTTGGACCAGAGGTGAAGGAGCTTCTACAAAAAGAGGGCAAAGTCCCTAATGTCCTTGGCCACATAATTGTTTTCATGTTTGTAATTGGAATTCTGCATGACATTTACAAAATAACAAAGGTAAGTAAGTTTGCTTTAACAAAATTAAGTATTAAACATTTTTATTTAGTTTCCTATTATCAAGGGGGGGGGGGGGTCAGGCAGTCTGTCAGGTTCACGAAGATCCCCCTAACAAGCAACGAGTACATACATGAATATTAAAGTTGTACAGTGGTACCTTCATTTTCAAATTTAATCCATTCTCAAAGACAGTTTGAAAACTGAAACTAAGTTTCACATAAGAAAGTGTAAATTGAATTATTCCGTTCCACACCACCAAAAATGTTAACTTAAAAATACATTTTGTATATACTATACTACTTATACTTGTACATACTGTAGTACAAAATATATCTTGCCTTTATTGAGGACGTTTGTTGGTGTATGGAAGACGGTGTGGAAGGGAGGGGGGGGGGGGGACGAGGAGAGGTGTTAGTGTTTGGAAGAGGAGTCCCCTTCCATTATAACACCAGGCACTGATGACATTTCTGGGGCACTCTATCTCCTTTGTTTTGCAGGCATACCACTAGAACCTGGTTGTGGCTCACTGCTTGCTTGTCTTACTAAGAATCTGTCTATAGACATATGTTTTTCCCTATGTTTTAACACTTGTTTGTAGCGAGACATAACATTGTCTCGCTATGAATGTTATAGAGAGAATGTTATGTCTTTTGTTATTTCTCTATCGTCATCCGCACAACTACTTTCTTGGGTTGAACTTTACCACTGACTTTCTTGGAACCCATGGCATGATACAGTATATAATAAGAACTTTTATGTTCAGAAACCAAAAAAGCACAAAAAACAATGAAAGTCTTTACAAAGAATTCAAGTGTGGTAGTCACTAGGCAGGAGACTCTGGTAAACTGAAGTACGCCATGTGCTTAGTCGGCGCATATTTGTATCAATAAACTCGAATGCCGAGCAAACCTCGAATACTGGGTTAATTTTTTCAAAGAAATTGAGCTTGAGAACCGAAAAATTTGAAAAGAGGGGCATTTGAAAACTGAGGTTCCACTGTATAAGTATTTGGAAGAGTGTACTTTTGTAAGTCCCACATTCAATGCTAGTATTAAAACTAAACACACTTGTAATGTGCATTGATTATATACTAGTGGTTGTACATGATAAAAATATTCCTGATAAATTAATAATAGAGTAAATTAATTTTTATAATGAATGTTAAGCTAATGTTAAAGTTAGTCAAATATTTAGATTCTATTTTCTTTGGAAACTCCTTATAATTCCCCTGAAGCCATCTCGGTGAGATGGCTTCCAGCTACTAAGTCATATCAGCCGCGAAGTTTGTGTGCTCCTTAGCATTGCCCCTGCACTGACAGATTTCTCTACTTTGGTGTGTCTGAGAGTTTGCTTTTAAGGGTCCAGGGGCCAGATTCACAAAGCAGTTATGCAAGCACTTGCAAACCTGTCCATCTTTTATCAATCATTGGCAGCTTTGTTTACAATTTATAAACAGTTAATGAGTTCCGAAGCACCAGGAGACTGTTTATAACAATAACAACAGTTGATTGGGAAGTTTTCATGCTTGTAAACAAAGCAGTCAAAGATTGAGGAAAGATGTACACATTCGTAAGTGCTTCTGTAACTTCTTCGTGAATCTGGCCGCAGACCACTGGGGTGGGTGCCCTTACCATGGGTGTGTCAGAGGTCCTTGGCCCAACTGTCTAGACTGTTGGGCTGTCACCCTCCCCCTACAGTTGTGGGGGGAGGGTGAACATTTTTGCTAGTTGAGGTGCACTGGGGGTTCATGTCCTTGTTTTCTTCTGGATAAGCCCTGGTGGCTTTCTGATTACCTTCCTTCCTTCCAGGTTTGTTTGTTGGTTCTTTGATCTCCACATTTACCTCAGAACTGGCTTAGAAGGCTGGTAGAAACCTGGGGCTCCAGGCCTCTCACTCTAATGCCAGGGTTAGTTAGTGCTAACGAGCTCATGCTAGTTTTGAGATATTCAATCATTTGTTTACATTGTTAAGGGAGACAATGAGTCACAATAATGTGGCTGAAGATATGATGACCAAACCACACATCGGAAAATGGAGAAATGACGATGTTACAAGTCTTGATTACAAGTCTTGGGTCATTATCGTGACTCGATAATGGTCTACGGTGGACCGAAACGTTGCCATTTCTACATTTTCTCATGTGTGGTTTGGTCATCATTGTTTAGGGAGTTTGGCAGTTTCAAGGCTTTGGCCTATTTAAACCCAGCAATGGTCCATACCGGACCATTGGTCTTCTGACTTTCTAGATGCTTTCCCAGTGGGTTGGTGGAGTGTCACCTGTTCTTTGTATCTCTGTGAAGTGGGGGCCAGGTTCTGGCTCTGGTATGGTTATGGTAGGCAAAACAGAACTCTGTGGCTGATGTGACCTTGTAGTTGGGAGTCATCTTTGTGAAATAACTTCAGAAACCCACCGAGGTTCATCCAGAATGAGGTACAGTATTTCATTATGGTCAATGCTGTTTTTTGGGGATGAAAACATTGGTTTAGTGAGAATGAACACTACAGTAGGTACTGTCCTGTGTTTATAAAGTATTTCAGAGTATATGTTGTTAAAAGTAACAGCAACACAATTTAATTATTTAGGATTAAAGCAATATGAGTAGATGTACTACGAAGAGTGGTAAACACATCACTTGCATTTACTACTAATAATTAATTATTTCTTTGTTTCTCTTTTAAATATAATCAAATTAAATCAATTCTATAAAATGCTATATTAACCAGTGTCTCTACTTGGGTTGAGTCAAACTTAGGAGATATCGGTAGAATTTGCCTCAAATGAAGCATAACTACAGATTGTACCCAAAGTTGCTACACTTGCAGCATCATTGGCTAATAAACTACAGTTATGCCTCAATAATTTTTACACTTGATATGTTCTGTTATATTTATACAATTGTTCAATCATAACTTTTTTTTTACCCAATACAGTACTGTACCACTATTCCATGCCACAACTACTGTACTTTATTCTTTTTTTCTTTACAACGTTTAGGGAATGTCTAAAAAAGTAATTTTGTGTAACTAGTTAAAAAAAATTGTGACATTGAATTTTCAACACTTCTACTTCCTCTCTGATGTACTCGAATTTTCCAGATATATCAGCTGGCATACAATCTTGCACTCTTCTCACGTGATTATTTGGCTATTAAAACCGAGTGCCCAAGTTCTTATTTTGTGTGAAACATTGCAAAACTAAAACTGTATTTCTTGTTAAATACAGGAATTGTTATACTGTAGTTTTAAATAAAATTATTGGGATTGTGATGCCAAATGTTACTTTTCTTTACAGCTGAGAAAAAGGTTTTTTAAAATAGAAAACATTTTTCTGCCGTGGGCTGCAACCAGCATCATTTTCATTAGCAATTTTACATCCTGCTCACGAAACACCTTTGTACGAGAGGTATGATAACGAAGACTTTTTTACAAGTACAGTACAGTATTCAGTGCAACTTATGCTTTAGTTCACACAGGCAGCCCATGATTTATGCAGTATTAGGGTATGTATATTTGGTGGTATGCAGATAAATACTTTTATACGAAGTTTTAAAGTTGGATTTTTAAATCCAACGCAGGTTGAGCATAGATAAAATTTTAACATACCTAACTTGAGCAAGTTTTCAAGTCTACCACTTTCTCAGCAGTGTGATGGGCTCCCACAGAGTACATTCTTGTGTTTTACGAATATTTTGGGTTAAGTGGTATTCATAAATCACTGCTCATCCCAAAAATTCTGGACATCATTATTTGCTGTATTTGTCACTGGAAAATGAATGAACATTAGATATTAATATTAAAATAAGTGCTTCATTGCATTCTACCCTCAAAAAATGATAGAACATTTAGCTATTATGGATGGAATGTATATATGGACCATTGTATACAAGGTATTGTATACAATTATGTTCTGTATACAATTGTATACAAGGACCATAAACAAGACTTATGTTTTATGCTACAGTATTGAAATTCTAAAGGGCATAACAGAATGAAAGACTGACCCTAAACCTAATTGGTCCTATACCTAACAATTTAACGCCTAATTTAGTGCAGACTATAGAAAATCTAGAAAAGAAAAGTCTAGAAAACGTTAGGTTTGGTTGTTGCATTTTTTTGTCTTTACAAAATGACTAGTACAAAATGTGGACCATTTTTTATGTAACAGGCCATATTTTGTACTTCCATCCATAGTAACTATATATACTATTATTTTAGAATGAAATTTTTTTAATTAGTAAAAAGTGGAAAAGTGAGGCCATTTTGAAGGTCTTTGGAATGAAACTGTTCTCATGTAGTTTGATTTTTTGTTGTATAACCTTTGTAGGAACATAACCCTCGTGCAAATCAAGGGCTGCCTGTATATTAAAGCATATACACTACAGTATTTTAATGATAATCTTTAACAACAAAGGTGACTGCATGTAGAAATGCAGCTCACACCTGAATCTGAAAAACTGCACATTTAAAATGTATGAACAGTTTATAGATATGTTCATGTTTATATAAAGACACATCTTATGTTACAAAACAGACTATAAACTAAGCTTCAAGTACTGTCTTTGAAAGCATGTTCTTTTTGCACATGATTTGCATTTTGTCTCTTATTTTAACTAGCATACAAATAATATGAAGTTATACAATCATATTACTAAACTCTTTGTTTTGCATAATACTGTATTCTCTTTATAGGTTCCTATAATTTTTAATACTAACACTTACATAATGGTATTTGGTCAGGACTGGCAGTGGCAAGTGGGCGTGGTGTCTGTGCTCACATCCTGGATGTGCCTCATCATGCTGATGAAGAATGAACGCTGCTGCAGCAATTTCTTTCACCATGCCATCCACCTTTTTCGCACCCTCTTCAAGATTATCTTTCCTCTATTATTTGTAGGAATTGTGATATTTTCTGTTTATAAAATAAGTGGCAAAGGAAAAACTGCTAACAATCAAGCATTGAATACTTTCCTTAAAATATTTTCATATCAGTGGGTCAATACGACATTGTTTGTCACATTAACCATTGTTATCTGCTTTGTAATGTTAGATAACAGAAGAAATAAACAGAGAAAGGTGAACAAGGACCTTCGCACTCTCGCTGTTGTGAAGATGACAATGGACTTTGACCTCCTATATCCTATCTTGAGGAAGAAGTATTATGTTTTTTGGATACCAGAGGATTATAAAGTAAACTTCAGCAGCCAGTGTAACTGTCTTAAACAACATTTACCTAATCAGAAAAAGCAGTTTGAAGAGTTAAGTGAGAATGAGAGAGAGGTTTCAGATGAAATACATGATATAAGTGAGAAAATTGATAAGCTTCAGCAATATATAACGAAACAATTTGAGCTTATTAATGCAAAACAGGTAGAAATATGCAGCAAGAATAAGTAGCAGGACTTGTGGGGTGGGGATAATCTACCAATGATTATTTTATTAAATATATTTATTTATTGAATGGACTGTAATTATTTTAATTGATTATTTTATTAAGCGGAATGTATAGGTTATTATTTATAATCACTGATAAACTTCCACTTCACACATTTGGGGGTTATGTTTGTTAAATTTTGTTATATTGTACCATATTTAAACGGTTAACATTATTATTGTCACGCGACTGTATTTAAACGTTAGTAGCTGTGATAAGGCTATAATTCACTTATACTAATCTGACTAGAAGGCTTCAAAAGTTATCATGGAACTGTTGTCGAACATGTGAGTAGGCCCTGCTGTAATGGTATCATCTGTGTGCAATGCCGCCTAAACATTAATGGCAATTCTTCACTATCAATGTTGTCCCGACTCCACCCTGCCAAGATAATACAATGTGGATAGGCACAAACTAGACTGATTTATTATTATTATTATAATATTTATAATTTTATTATATAATTTTATTGTAATATTTATGGCATAATTTTGACTTGATTTACTCGAGTTAATTAATTCGCCCATTTTGGGCTTGGCATGCCATATAATCATCAAACCTAAAAGATCTTATATTGCCCAACTAAGAACTAGGTAAGACAAAATTTAAGCACTTCCCTGCAGTGTCATAGTCAAATACACCTGTAGAAATAGGTACCGATTATTGTGAATACCACCGGAGCGCTTCAATTAACACTGACAAATTACACGTGTGTTAGTTGGAAAGGCTTGATGTTGGCTGCTGCCTCCTTCCCGGTCAGAGGACACATCAACTGAATGGTTTATTTGTGGGTTCTAGTAATAATTGGAAGAGTTTTATTCTATCTAACTGATGACTAATAATTTAGTAATGTGTAATTTATTAATTTCAGTCCTGAGCCTGTAGTATTAAATATTTAAAGTTTAATTATATGGATATTAAATTAATTCCTGCCACATGACAATATAATCTCATTTTCTGGAGAGATTGCACATATAGTTTGTTTTATTGCATAACCAAGTTATTTTAATGGATATTTTTATTAACCCCTAAGCTGCTCGGGGGGGCTATTTGGCCTTCAACACCCACAGGCACAAAAAAAAAATCTTATAAAAGTGTTCATTTGTGTTCCCTGATCACGGGAAAAATAATAATAAAAATCGTAAGTTGGATATTTTGGCTGCCATAGGGCGGGGAAGTCTGTCAAAAAAAAAAAAATTAAGAAAATGTATGAAGTATGGGAAGAACTGCAAAGTTTTGCTGATGACTCACCCAGATAAAGCTGTAGCAGGCAGTTCCATTGACCTTTTTAATGACAATATGATGGCTCACTACAGACAAGCGTTAAAATGTAGGAAAAAAAAAAGTGTCTTTAGATAGATTCTTAGTAAGACAAGCAAGCAGTGAGCCACAACCAGGTCCTAGTGGTATTCCTGCAAGACGTAAGAGAGAGAGTACACCCCAGAAATGTCATCAGTGCCTCATATTATAATGGAAGGGGACTCCCCTTCGAAACACCAACACCTCTCGGAGAGCTACCCATCCTTACCATCTTCCATACACCACCAAGAGTCCTCATTAAAGGGAAGATATACTTGTATATACTGTAGTACAAAATATTAGTAGTAGTATGCATAAATTGTATTTTTAGGTTAATATTTTTGGGGGTGTGGAACGGATTAATTCAATTTACATTATTTCTTATGGGAAAATTTGTTTCGGTTTATGAACCGTCTCTGGGAATGAATTAAATTTGAAAATGAAAGTACTGTACCACTGTACAGTATGTGTATTTGATATGAATGTACTGTATATACCTATGTATATATACATACACACACACACACTTAATGGTCCAACAAATGGCTACTAAAGTTCCACCCAAGTAAATGTAAGGTAATAAAACTATGTGGAGGGAACTGGAGGGGGGAATATCTCCAAATTGGTATGCAGGGTACCGAATGGGAAAAGTATTTCTCCACGAAATGGACAGAGAGAAAGATCTAGGAGTTGATATCACACCAATCCTGTCTCCTGAAGCCCACACCAAAAGAAAACCATCAGTGGCTTATGCGAGGCTGAAGAGCATCAGGACTGCCTTGAGAAACTTGTGTCAGGAATCATTTAGAACCTTGTATACCACACATGCAAGACCAACCTTAGAGTATGTGGCTCCAGCATGGAGTCCTTAACTTGTAAAGCACAAGAAGCTTGAGAAGATTCAAAGGTATGCAATAGACTAGTCCCAGAGCTAAGAGCTATAAGTTACGAGGAATGGCTGCATGAATTGCACTTCATGTCGCTGGAAGACAGAAGAGTTCTGGGAGACATGATGAGCAGATAAAAAATTCTCAGGGGAAAAGACAGGGTAGATAAGGACAGATTATTTAACATGGGTAGTACTTGCACAAGAGGGACACAGGTGGAAACTGAGTATCCAAAGAGACACTGGAAAAACTTTTCAATGTCAGAGTAGTTAATAAATGGAATGCATAAGGAAGTGATGTGGTGGAGGGTGATTCCATACAGTTTCAAATGTAGATATGATAGAGTTCAATAAGTTTAGGAACCTGTACACCAGTTGATTAACTGTTGGAATGCAAGAGCAAAGAGCCAAAGCTCAACTCCCCACATGCATAACTAGGTGAGTGAGTAGAAGTAGAGAAGGCCAATTACTATATTCACAATTAAAAGTGTGTGAGGCAAAAGTGATAATCTAAAACAGTTCCTCTGCTAAAATTTGTTGTTTTACTGTATTTATGGAGAGAAACTTTCTCATATGCAAAAGTGGCACTCTGGACATGAATACATGAAACTTTTGTAGTTTAAATAAATGATTGAAAGTAATATCTTTGCAATCTAAGACCTAAAACGCTTTTTGGAGCCCCTCTATAGGCAGCTTTAGAAATATAAAATTTCTGGGACAAAACAGTAATGACAAAGTTTAAGATATTATTACAGAATTTAGGAATTATATTAATTTTGAAAGTAAAGAATAGTAATCAAGTATTTTTTGTAATCTAATGACACTCAATGGTAGTCCCTTTCTGTATAAAGATTCTGCTAAACTTATGGATTGCTCTTTGACATTTGTTTGTCTTGGTCTCCCCAATATCTTACCTCCGAGTTGATTGCTCTAAAGTCCTTACCTTATTTAAAGTCTTGTCCCATACTTCCTGGGAAGCTGATAGACACTAACACTTCTCTATTTGCACTCTTCTTTTGTACTATCGAAACTGGATTACTGGATTCAACTGCCTCTGCTGTTGAAAAACATATGGGATCACCCCACAAAAGGATGAGCTACACCCCGAGCTAAACCCTGCAATGACTCAGAAACCCCAAAACCTTCAGAGCTGGAACTAGGAGAAAAGACCAGAAGCAGGGCCAACCACACCCCCTGCAGGAAAAGGAACAGGAGCTGCAGACTTAGCCAAAGTGGAGTTCACCAACTCCACTTTGGAGTTGGTGAACTAATGTCCAACATTAGGGCATCCAAGTCTGCATCATACTGCAAAAGTTGAAGATGGACAAGCCTAGCCCATACAGTGGCAGCTGCCTGGTAAGCTTCCTGATGTAAAACAGGTTCATGGAGAACCTAAATATGCTCTCAGTGAATGCAATTGTCACAGGATTCTGGGTCATAGTGTCACGTGACTGAACAAGCATTATGACGGTGGCAGACAGAATTATCGTCACCAGATAGCAAGATCGACAAGCACTCTTCAAACTTGCAGATACTGTAGTCAGTATGGATTTGACAGGTCCATCCATCATGAGCCACATTAGACTGCAGGGAAATACCAAAGCCTGAAGGCAAACTAGCCAAGCAGGGCATCCAGGCACTAGGGACATTTTCCGAAAAAACAGACACCAAACACAACCTGTAACAACCCAGCTAAAAGGGTATTCACTGTGTGCCATATAAAGAAAGCACATGTGTACCCTAGTGAATCCCACTCATAACCAAGCAGGGTGCCCCTACCTAGGACCTACACAGAGGAGTGAACATTTCATGACCTATCCCAGAGTGAGCCTCTCCACCCCCATTGGCAAGGACTCTCAGGCAAACCCCTGAACACACCAGACAAGTATCTATTAGTGCAGAGGCAGCACTAAATGAGCACCCAGGGAAGAGTACCCCAAGTGCATGCTGCTCGAAACACAAAACAAGCAAAGTCCACACAACCAAGCCAGGAAGAAAACACACAAAAAGTATATGGCACACAGCTGGCTAATGGGTTGAAGCTAGGTAGGTACTGTACTAGGGACTAATGGGTTTTAGCTAGGTTAGAGTAAACTAATTGTTTATTCCAAATCATTTCAGTCATTTGGTCATTTTAGTGTTTCAATTTCTATGAACCCTGCAGTTGTTTGTAAAGCTTTGCTGAGTTTCTGGATGCTTTACTACTGAGGGTGATGATAATAGCCCCCTGTTCTGTGCCTCTGTGAGGCACGGGCCAGGTTCCAACTCTGCTATCCAGTAAGCCAAACAGGATGCCTGCAACTGATGTGACCCCCAGTAGTGGAGAGCCATCTCAGCGAGACTGATTCAGGGAGCTACCAAGGGGATCCCCCAGGAAAAGAATAAGCCATCAGAGATAAGGAGACAAAGTTGCATTGACATTAAATGATATATTTCACACATAAAATAAGGCCCTAATAATAAGGCATAAAAACACTTTTCTCAGATTGTATAAATGTGCAATATAATGCCATGCATCATTATCATAGCTTGAATGATACTGAAATAATTCATTGTCTTTAATGATGCCAATTATTTCTGCCATACCTACTAACGTATATTAGTTTCACCACCAGCTTATCAATACCATTGACAGATCAATAAAAGTTTACAAAATTATATTAAGCTATTATTACTCTTTAAATTTGTTCTTTTTTTATCGACACATTTACATTTGCTTTCCTCCAGTCTACATTCAGATTTGTGTCACCTATTAGATCCTCAATATCTTTGTTAGAACACAGTAGGAGGACAGAGTTGCCATCGGTATCTTTATGCAAAAGTATGTTTTGTTGCTTTATACTTGAAACTTCAGGAATTTCTGGAATAACTTCTATATTCTTCTCATTTTCTATTGTTTTTGCTATACTATCTAAACTCTCACCTAAGTGTCTTAATGCTGTGTCTGAAACTAAGCCTGTTGCTAATCGAGATAGTCTTTCAATTTTTGTTTGAATTTCATTACGTAATTGTTTCAATTCTAGGTTTTCACTATAAACCATATTCTGCTGAGAGCCAGTCTGAACAATTAAAGTTGGATAAGAATTATCTGCTTCTGTCATTTCTGCTTCTACTTCTATTTCATTTTCCACCTGTAAACTCATGGAGGAATCATCATCTGGTCTTACCAAAAGGCACTTTGGTATCTTCCTTAAAAATACCCTTCGACTACCTCCAACAAGTCCCTTGCCATGAGTCATAAAGAGATTCTGTTTAACAGAAATATTACGGACATTGGCATACTTCAAGAGTTGGTGCCGATGAGCAGGCATACGAGTTTTCATAATGGCAATTATCTTGGAAGCAGAATAGCCCTCAAGGATGAGATCTTTGATCATCTCTTTTTCCTCACTGTTCATCCTGAGATGAGAGCCATCTTCATCATGACCATAATGAGTCCTGCAAAAGTGAACTGTGGCTCCTCCTTCCTTCATGAACATTACTTCCATAAATGATGTGCAGACAGCATTAATCTTTATGCTCCCTTTCTTCACAAAGTGCGGTCGTGACACAGCCATCTTTGAATCTGCGGGCTTAATGAAACCACTACGTCGACAACGTAGGAAGAATTTTACATCTCCAGACACCATTGTCTTTGCTGAAGTTTGTGCTGAATACGAAGCCCGACACCTTTCCTCTGCCTCTTTCTTCCATTTCCAAAAGTCTGTAAAAGTGGAGGGGTGAATTGATGTCTTTGATAATAAAAAATGAAGCTTAAACAGCCTGGTACCTTCAATGAAAGTTAAAGAAAGTAACCTACTCCCTTGATACAAATACCCAAATAACACCTTGGCTCTTTTTCAGGCAATCATTCCCCTGGATACAGAAGTTGCCAGATGTGTTTAAATCAGAGGGTGCTGAAAGTCCTGGATTTCATGTCTGGGCTGCAAACAGATAATGCACATAAACTACAGTAACATCTAACACCAAGACGGATATAAAAAATAGGAAAGAAAAAAGTTGAAGTTTATAAAATAAAAGAGGAAGCTACATCACTAAATATTGTGACACAAAAGGAGAAGAATGATTGGAACTCAAAAGAGTAGTCATATTTTACACTAGAGAAGCAAGAACTTAAATTCTGTAAGAATTTAAGAATAGTAATACACGGAAGCTAAAAGGAACTCGAGAGACAGCAAGGTTTGCACTTAAAAATATTATGCATGTGTATGCTCTATATTATTTAGGTACCATAGATATACTTTAAGATATTCATAAAATTCATTAGCATCTTCAAAGTGATCATCTAATTAACATCAAAGATGCAAAAATTGTACAATATTAAAAAATTCTGGGTGCAAGAAACCTGCATCACAGGTAGTGGTTACAACTTTTTCTGTGCAGTTTGAAAATTACATGCTTCCAAAACACAGATAAGACTAAAACTGCTATACATTAGTAACTTATTCAGCATAATAGAAATTAAGTGATCAGTAGTTTAGATATAAGTGATGAAATTTGGAGAATGAAGAAATCTTTATACCAAGCAATGGGAACCTCCAATCCATGACATGTTTTGAAAACAGCCTGTTTGATGCTACTGGCACTATATTTAGTTCAGTAATTTATGTACAGTATCCGTACAGTAATCAAAAGTGTAAGCCAGGGAGCCGGTCGGCCGAGCGGACAGCACGCTGGACTGTGATCCTGTGGTCCCGGGTTCGATCCCAGGCGCTGGCGAGAAACAATGGGCAGAGTTTCTTTCACCCTATGCCCCTGTTACCTAACAGTAAATAGGTACCTGGGTGTTAGTCAGCTGTCACGGGCTGCTTCCTGGGGGTAGAGGCCTGGTCGAGGACCGGGCCGCGGGGACACTAAAGCCCCGAAATCATCTCAAGATAACCATTATGTAAGAACATATCTATCCAAATTTTTTCAAACTTCCTTAATCTCATAAGCTGTATACAGTACAGGTGGCCCTTGATTTGTGTAAGGATTATGTTCCCAAAAAATTGCAAAATATTATGTACATACATGTGAAACATAGGGTTAGGTTCCAGATACTTTGAAACGTCCATTTTTTTTTTAACTCCTTACTCAACTAAACATGAATTTTAACATTTAATAATTAATGCTCCCACTACTTTCCAGCCACAAATTAAGCACACAAAGTCCAGAATTCTGGGATGTGCAAAGATGAAAAAATATAACCCAAAAAGTTTTTAAAACACAAGAATGTTAGGAGTAACGAAGTCAGACACTTTGCCAACAGTAGACCCAAATATTAACGTAAATTATCAAAGCTAATTCATTCTCAATCCACAAATATGAAATTTGCTGGCACGCTCTGAAACTTGCCATAAAAGTGATTTCCATATAACCCTGAATCTACAAAATCCAATACAGGAAAAGTTGTGAGCTGTTTGCATAGGCTTACTTATAAGATAATTATTAGGAGGAAGTGTAAGCCAGTACAACTATATAGCATCATACAATATTTATGAGGAAAAAAAATAGACTTTTGAAGACCGAGGATTTTAATGTCTGTTCTATGAAGATGAAATAATTAAGCTTACTAAAAGAAAATATTATGGCAATGGGTGGGATTGAAAACATACTAAGATTGTTTGAGCCTATAAGACCATATGAATGAGTTTTATAATCAGAAAAAGTTTTATAATTTATAATCAAGTGAAGAAGTTTTATAATCAGAAAAAGGTAGTGCAGACTAGATAAATAAATGAGAAGATTTATGTTCTACATGCAAAGGTTTCAGTTACATGATAACATGTTTCTGGAAAGAGAATTGCCAACAACTAAATTTATTTAAGCCTAGCAATAAATGCTAATTAGGGTTGGACAGATATGGGGGTAGTGATAGAATAGAATACTGTACAATACTCAGGTTAATACTCCTAAAAAAGAAACAAATATAATTTTATACACTGTGCTTTGACAGGCTGACTTCAATATACGTTGGCAATATGTAATGATACTGTACTATTATTACAAAGATCCTTTACAATCTGTTAAAGAGTGACTGTTACCACCTAAATTGCATGGTAAAGAAAATGAAAGTTTAACTCTGTTCATAATGCAAGAAACAAAAATAGAGGCTGCTATAAGAATTAAAACAATCATTCAGAAGCAGGCGATGAGTCACAATAACGTGGCTAAAGTAAGTTGACCAGACCGAAACGTCGTCGTCCCTTCACCTTCTAGTGTGTGGTCTGGTCAAAATCATTCAGAATTATCATTACAGCAGAATGCATTATAAAAGATGAATAACTTTTAGAGAAAGCTAGAAAGAGGAATAGAGGCTACTGAAGCATGATTAAAGCGAACTTTTTAGGTTTTTGGGTAACTCGACTCATTGTTTGGCATTTACCCTTTTATTATTAAGAGTATTTTCTCAAAGCTTTGTAATACTGTATAAATTACAGGTAAAAACCCAGTACTGAATGTAATGGAATGCCAATTTCTGGAGGAAACTCTGTGGCTCCCTGAAGCTAACTTCCTGAGATTACATCATACTCAAAGGTCATCAGCTGCAAATTGTTTTATCCCCTACCTGGGACCAGAGCGAAAACCTAGCCCCCTAACAGAGGTGCAGACAGAGGTGACAATCCACCACCTCACCAGAAAAAGTTTGCAGAAAGTTAGTGTAGCTTTACAGACAACTGGAGGAGTCACAGAAATCAAAGCCTCATAAATTGTCAAACAACCACTGCAAATAAGATGCACAGAACAAGGAAATATCAATTGAAAGAAGATGCCGAAGTTAACCAAACAGAAGATAAAAGAACATTGACAAAAATAAATGAATAAAAGAGCTGGAAAAAAAGTTATCCCTACATCATCTTCAATTGATCAGCTGACAATATGATAACATGAACAGGGGAAGATTTACAATATATTTTGGAGTGGACAATGTGAGAGAAAGCTGAAAAATTAAGAGTTATTTAAGAAAGCAATAAAGCAATCTACTAGATACTCACACAGTACAAAGAATGAATTATACAGATACTGTAGACAGACGATGAGTCACAATAATGTGACTGAAGATATGATGACCAAACTACTACTCAAAAGATGGAGAAGCAACTACAACTCAAAAGATAGTCAACTTTTCAGTCTGTCCTAGACTATTACCACATGACTTGATAATAGTACAGGATGGACCATTAATAATAAGAAAGGAGAAGTAATGATACTGTGATATCGTAATGAATTTCTTGATGAAATACCGAAATACATTTTGGCAAGTACTGTACTGTACTGTAGTACCAACTGAAGATCACCTAATGATCATGAAACTGGGAGTTGTATGTAATCACATTCATATTCTGAGTACAGTACTATAAATAGAGTAACTCCAGGAGTCAACAAAAATAATATTAAATCATTAGGCAAAACTATTATACTGTATTCTATTGTACTGTTTAGTATATGCATAAAAAATGGAAATACTGTACTGTAGTTCACAAAACTAATAATTATTTATTAAAGCTATGTACTGTTAGTACTGTACTGTACTGTACTATGTTACTATGTACAGTATAGTACTGTCAAGAACAGGTGTAGGAGCTCTTATTTGTATCAGGTATAAAACAGTTCTTACCATCTTTCTGCTGAAAAGTCACTTTCTCACACTGGAACTTCATCTTGTGAGCTCGAATCAGGTGGGAAATAAGTCTAGCTATGCGGTTCCCACGAAAGCCACAGTCAGGTTCCAAACAAGGCATTTTTGCACGATTTTCGGCAGAGAGATTGTGTTTGACTCGTAGATGAGTAGACAAACTGCTCTTATTTTTGTACGTCTTATTGCAGACTCGACAGACAGTGCTCTGATGATCCTCATCTTGGGACACAGTAATAATTTGGCTCTTATCGCCCGTTTCATCCACAAGAGTACTACTCGGGTCACTTTCATTCCCACAATATATATAAACATTATCATCTATATCTCTGAGATCCTCTAAGCTTGTGGGTGGTTCAGTTTTAATATATGATTCTTGGTCAATAACAAAGTTTTTATTGATGAATGATAACTTATTGGAACCATCACCCATTTTGCTATAACTTATGCCACTTGTAAGGCCATACAAAAATGCCAGTATCAGTAGTTGCTCTCTATCACATTCAAACCTGCAAGAATTTTTGTTTTTTATTGATGATACAAATGACAACAAATATTTACATGTGCAAAATACCTGATTTTTTATTTGAAGTTAAGTACTTCACAAATTTCTTAGATTTATTATGTGAATGTCAGAATCTTAATTAAATATACAGTACTGTACAGTGCTTAATTACAATATGGTAGCTAACTAAGGGTATAATTTCTTGGTGTTCACTCCAACAAAATGATGAAGCAATATAACTGAGAATTATTTTCAGATTCCATCCCACAATAATTTAACACCAAATTTACTTAATGAGCAAATTGTCTTAATGTTGCTACATATTTTTACATACTGGTATTTACAATTTTTTTTTACATAGTACTTACCTAGTTACCTAGTTGCGCTTGCGGGGGATGAGCTCTCTCTTTGGTCCCGCCTCAACTCCAGGATTGGTCTACATATGTGGTATACAAGGTCCTGAATGATTCCTTACACAAGTTAGTGTTGTGGCTAGTGTTAGTGGTTCTCAGATAATATTGGGACAGGAGTAGAATGCTTGTCTGTACCACAGATGGTGCTAAATAGTATTCAAAGCTTTTTACTTTCTTTTGATAGTAACTTAATTTAAACATATAAACAAATGACTTGTGATTAATGGTTCTATTTGCTGTGATATATACATTAATAAACAAATCCACAAGGGCTGTGACGAGGATTCGAACCTGCGTCCGAGAGCATCCCAGGTGCTGTCTTAATCGACTGAGCTACGACATGATCAAAAGAATTGAAACCAGAAGTTCTACTGAACTTACTTGGATCCTGCAGCCTCTCCGAGACACAAACTGCAGAGAGGCTGTAGAATCCAAGTCAGTTCAGTAGAACTTCTGGTTTCAATTCTTTTGACCATGTCGTCGATCAGTCGATTAAGGCAACGTCTGGGATGCTCTCGGACGTAGGTTCGAATCCTCATCACAGCCCTTGTAGATTTATTCATTTGATGCATCACGCTATTGTGATTTCTGTGTGTAATATACATTAATTCACTGCTGGGTAGGTCTCCGATTACTGCTAATTATAATTCCTAAATCTCTTTCACAACATTTTGACGTCATCATCTGGTAGATGGTGTTACTGTTATTTCCTTAATTTAGCACTTAGCACTTATCCATGATGAACTGCAACTGCTAATTTTATGCCTAGTTCTGCAATGTGATGAGGTCATTCTAGAATTCAACCGAGTCCTCATCCGAGTTTACTATGCATCCCACTATCGTGTCATTTGCAAATTTGCTGATACAGGTATTACTATTCATGCCACCACCTAGGTTGTTGAAATATATTACTGTATGAGCAATAAAAGCACCGAAACTGACCTCTACGACACTACTTTTCATCATTCAACCTGACTTCGAGTCAACTGCTTGATGGGGTTCTGGGAGTTCTACTCCCCAAGCCTGGCCTGAGGCCAGGCTTGAGCTGTGAGAGTTTGTTCCAACAGGCTGTTGCTTGGAGCGGCCCGCAGGCCCACAACCCACCACAGCCCGGTTGGTCCGGCACTCCTTGAAGAAAACTATCTGGTTTTCTCTTGAAGATGTCCACGGTTGTTCCGGTAATATTTCTTATACTCGCTGGGAGGAAGTTGAACAACCGTGGACCTCTGATGTTTATACAGTTAAGAACATGCATTTAAACAACCAAGACAAGGCTAGCCAGGAACCCCATACAATATATGTGCCAGGTATATTGGTTTGGCAAACTTCTGAGTATCTATTTACAGCTAGGTGAACAGAAATATCGGGTTAAAGAAAACCTGCCCAAGGTTTCTGTCTTGCTACAGGAGTCGAATCAGGGACCTTTCAGCTTTACAGGGATTTAGGTTCAAACTTACCATAATTGTCAGCTACAATTCCCTCGTCTTCGTCAACACGTGCTAAAGACAAGAAGCATCTTGACAGTGTCTTTTTAAACAACGTATAACCCAGAAGGCACACGCAAAGGCTTGTTATCCATCTCAATATCCAAATTCTCCTCTTCTGGAGGTGAGAATTCTCCTTCTTCTCTCTTCCACTTCCTACAAAGCAAGAACGTCATACCTGGGATATAATACACGGGATAAATTTGTTTGTTTACTATTTACAATTGTTCTCTCCGTTTACCTCGTGTGGTCACAAGCCGCTTACAACTCCACGCTCATTGGTCGCCTCAGCCGTTCGTGAGCCGGTAATATGCCTGGCGGCTCCGGCACCCAACGTCTTCACCATTTATTTTGCCATTTTTTAAATTACAAGACGTATTTTTGTTTATGTTATTAATTTGTTTATTTTATTAATTTGTATATTTATTATTTTTGTAGTCTATAGACTGCATGTTAATAATAGTTTAATTTTGTATGCATTTCCTTATCTGCTAAAACTTATAAACAATTTAATTAATTTTTTCTTCAAAATCAAAATCAAATAAAATGTTTATTCAAGTAAAAGTACATACATAGAAGATGAGTTACAAACAGAACGTTGGATTTATAGATAGAGCTAGTACATACAATACCTAAAGCCACTAATTTACCTAAACCCCACAGCGTTTTGGGCAAGGTGTAAGGGGGAAAAAAATACCATAGACCAAAGCTTAATACTAATTACACTTCCGTAATTACGCTACTGGTATGGTCCAGTAGCCTAATTATGTTACTTCCGTAATTACGCTGCATAATTAATGCTAATTACTAAAGCTTAATACTAATTACGCTTCCTTTGTTGCGTTAATTCCAATCTCTCAAACATATAAATAGCCTAAATGCAGTATTTTCTGTTTGAAACTTGGCGGTTTCTCTACAAACGTTACTCAGAAGAAAGTACCAACAGTACCTAGTTTTTTGTGGGGGTGAGCTTTGGCTCGTTGGTCCCTCTCGATTAACTGTAAAGATTCCTGATCCTACTAGGCTCTAACATTTTGCTTGTAACTTAATTTGTATGTACTTTTCCCAAGAAACAGTATTTATTACTATTTATTAATTAAAGTTTTTTGTCCACTGTCAATTCCCCTGAGAATCTCCTAACTCTTGTCTACCAGACATGAGGTTTAGTTCCGGTAGCCTTTCCTCGTAACTCATACCTCTCAGTTCTGGTGGCATACCTCTGAATCTTCTCTAAATTTGTATTGTGTTTAACTAGGTATGAACTCCAGGCTGGAGCTGCAGCTACTCCAGGATTGGTCTGGCATAATAGTGGTATACAAAGTTCTAAATGATTCCTTATGCAAGTTTCTAAAGGTAGTTTTTATGTTGGCCAATCTAGCATATGCCGCTGATGATATCCTTTTGATATGGGCCTCGAGGGACAAGTTCGGTGTGATATCAACCCCCAGATCTCGACTCTTGCAGAATTTTACCTCCCAGATGGTACCTTGTGTTCGGCCTCCTGCTCCCTTCACCTAGTTTCATTACTTTACACTTACCCAAGTTAAACTTTAGTAGCCATTTTCTAGACCATTCCTCCAGTTTGTCCAGGTCATCCTGTAGTCTGTCTTGTTTCTTCTCATAATTTTTCCATCATCAGTAAACATTGAGAGGAATGAGTCTATACTGTGGAAGATTGTTTACATATACAGTGTTTCGGAAACAAGTGGCGTGGTCCAGGGAATGATCAAATCATACACAACACGACAAAGCTCATTTTATGATTGTCAAAGCCCTATATGTCATTAGGTTAGGATGCATTATGGTATTAAGCAAACATTTTAATGATTAAAGTTAATTTTCTGAATATAAGATGCCTCTTTTGTGATTTTACCTAATTAAAATTTAGGATTTTTTTTGTCAAAGCTGTTGAGTTCAAAGCATCCATGATGACATGTTAGCTGTATAAAACTGTTTAGATTAATAATTTGCACAGGAAGTCTTCAATATACAGTACAGTACTCAAATTTGGATACCATCACAAATTATACTTTACTTTTTCTCTTACATTGCACAAAGGTTACAGGAGGTATTGTCTGTATGCACAAGGAAAATAGTATTCAAAACAAAGTTTATCTTCCTCTATTGGTAAAAAACCATGCCAAACATAGGATCGGTCTCAAAACTTGTGTCACATGCCCTCTGTTGACTGGAGGCCTTAAGTACCATTTAGAAACCCCCCCCTGTACCAGATTAAGCTTCAAATACTGCAAATTATCTAAAACACATGATTTTCAACCAGTGGAGCACAGCGCATCATGTGTGTGTTATGCCCAAGGGTGCAGTGTCGATTTTAGATAGATAGAAGAGAATAGATCACTACTTTCAAAATAGAAGACAGAGGAATTGTTGAATAAACAAAATAAAAAAAAAAAGAAAAAAAAAAAAAAAAAAAAAAAAAAAAAAAAAAAAAAAAAAGAATATGATCACTACTTACAAAATAGAAAACAGACAAGGAAGAATTGTTGCAAACCAACAACGACGACACAGATTCACCGACGAAATTAGTGTCTGAAAATATATGAAAGTTTTTGCCGTATAGAATTGTAGGTCGGAACAAGTGAGAAGGCTGAGGATACCAAACCACCAGTAGTTTCAAAGCAGCACACAACAGATTACTGGGAAGATTGGACACATCAAGTGTAGCTCTCATCATGTAACAGTATCTCATTGCCTATGCATTCTGTCCTATATTTGAAATAATTCACTGCAGCATTAAGACTTAAAAAGGTGTAATTTATAATTAAATTAAATCAGTCCTAATGAAAAAAACTTTTTATAGACCAGAAATTATTTTATTTTACTTATTTATAAATTTCAATCAGTTGTAGACTGTCAAATTCTACTTATTCACTATTAAAGTAAAAGGTGTTATTTGTGAGTAATATTCAGTTCAATTTCATATGCTTTATATATAATGGATGCTCTATAATTGCAGTTTCTTCAAGCTCAATGCCTATGAAAGGTCATTAGGTGTACACAGATTTAAGACCAATATTGCTACATCTTCCAATCCCATACACATTAAAAATCCTCTGGATAGTAATAAAAACAAAGTACATAACTCCTTATATTTTTATTTACCATTTGGTTGCAAATCCTGGCTATAAATTTATCAGTAAACTCTTCTAAATGTCTTATCGCAATGACAGTCACATTCCATGTTGACACATTAATATACAATATTAAACCACTCATGAAAATGCTCTGATGCCTACATAAATCTTTCCATCACAGCAATTACAAAAGCAGCAATAAGTATGTCCACAATTGTAACCCAAGTTACAATTACAATATTGGCATAAGGTATTACAGTATTCTGTATTATGTTGATGCTCATTGTGCACATCAAGCCTCACTAAACATTTATTTGCATCCAAAACTCGTGGCATTACAAAAACTATGAAAGAACTAAAGAATTACAAGTAGGGAAAAATGCATATTCTTTGGTTCTTTCTAATTTTAAATATGCCTTTGCTTTAAATTTAAGCCTAAATTAATGTTTCCTGTTAACTGCCACCATTCAGTATCAAACAAAATAGTACTGAAATACTATTAAATTTCTAGCTTTCTATGTATCAATAATGTTAATAAAATTTTGAGTAAAAAAAAAAAAAAAAAAAATGTTAGACCAGTATAATACCTGAAAACCCAGAATTAGATTTGTTGAAATTTAAAAGCACCAATATTCTCTACTTCTACTCTTAAGACTTTGCAAGTCTTAAAATGACATCACCCACTTTAAATACAATACCCGATACTACACAACCCATTTCATTTACTGGTTCTCAGTTGGAACAACTTTTCTCCCAAAAATAATGATATAAGCAAACGTCTTGAATTATAGACTGCCATGACTTCCCTACATTTAACATGCACAAACTTCTTACTGCAAACAAGAGTATCATTCCAAGTTAAATATCTTTGCACATCTCTGTTCTAAAATTTCCTACAAGAATACAGTTGTTTTTCCCATCTTCACTGGAATGTAATAAATCCTTCTGGACCGTTTGATAACAGCAAAGATGGAAGGAAATGAGGGCTCAACACAAGCTTGAATGAATACAAATACAGTACTTTAGGTTACTGTACTACTAAAAAAACCAGGGCAAATACCATGTGAATTTTATTTAGTATCAATATTTTTAATTTACCCTTAACAAATATTTATAAAGAAAAGTTTTTAATGTCAGTTTTGTTTTTTATATACATTAAATAACACGCATACCAGGTATATAAAATGGCTAGTAGGGTAGGTGTAATAAAAACAAGTTGACCCTAGATAAAAGTTAAATCAATTGTCATTGAATCTTAGAAAAAATATAAATCTTGAAGACAATATGATGATTGTTTAAATTATTATTTTGTGCCCTAAAAAGTGGATTACTGTATGTGAGAATTGCCACTTCTCCACACATATGCTCTGCATTGAAGTTGTGATACAATAAACTTAATTCTATTTTTATTTAGCTGGTTATGGAAACCATCTAAACAGATAATGCTTAACCTATATAGCAACTCAAATTAAAATGGGATAAAATTAATTTTAACTGACAAAAATAAAAATTGTGTAGGTTTATGTTACAAGAAAATTAACTTACACATGCAGTTGACAAAAGTACAAATAGTACAGAATAAGAGGGAATTACAATAGTAACACATTCTATTTTTCCATAAAAGGACTATTTTTGCAAATTTGTAAATAGTTTTTTGTTTTAATATTTTAAGATGGAAGGTAAAATTGAAGACAAGAATTAGTCACAGACTGAACATTATTGGCAAAGGTGACCAAGAAGTCAATTAACCTCATAAGGTCTAACTGCATTAGCTTGCTTGTGGTAGAGCGTACATCCTGTAGATCACTGATGCTACACAAGCCAGACCAACAGGCACCAACCATGACCGCCACGAGCTGTAAAATAGATCCTCTAACATATCTTGAAATCCTACTATATATAGTTTGCTGTTTACCTAGCAAATACTCTGTAGGCAAATGCAGTAGCAACAGCCAGCCCGACAGGTATCAGCCACATTTTCCAATTACTGCAAAAATAAAACCAAAAGTATAATACTAAATTGTCTAAGTATACTGAGTAAACTTTTATTTTGTATAAACAAATTATAACACTAAAATTTCTCTACCCCATTGACTAATACAAAATCTCAGTAAACCAAATTGCTGTGCTGTTTAAAACTACAGTACAGTACTGTAATATATGTAGACCTTTGTGTCTACATTGAGGTCGTGTAATTTAACCAATTTACCGAGATGACAAAAACATCGATCTTGCATTAAATTTTCATCCAATGGCAAAACAACTACAAGCAGAATAAGAGCTTACTTCTCCAGCAATATGGACAAATTTACATGACATGTACTTCACATTGTTCTACCTCCAGTAATTACTGCAAAAATTCAAAAATACAGTACTGTATCTCCAATATTTCTGGCATGATTTGGAATAGTCCTTTCCTTCATGATGAGAGTAGTTAGAGTTTAAGAACTGCAGAGTTAAAGTGTTGCAGTCTTTAAAGACACTAATTCTACCCAACACAAGAATTCAAGCTATACACAACTGAAATGTGCAATCTACTCTACTTTTTCCCGTATGCATGTTAGTTTATTTGAAGTTTTCGATTTTTAGTGTCCCACAGGAAAAAATAATTCTCAAATACCCCTCACACTAGTGGTACAAGTTATAGTGTTGATATTGGCAGCAGTTCACCTATTTTACAGTAATTATGTCATTTTAATATGGTAAATGCAAGGCATTAATATTTTAAGGCTAACATTAAAATCATATTTAATATGGTAGCATAAAGGAAATACAAGTACTATAAGAAAATTTTTATTTTTATTTACTTTTAGAGTGAAACTCCATTTGACTTGTAACCTTTAAGTGGCCAAGTGAGGTGACCCAGTACTAAAGGTTCGGTATTTGTACACACTATGAACTGTCTTCATATCGTGTATTCTTACTGTATCAGAAATGGCAGTTACTAAAGCAAAAATGTCAAATTTTTAAAGACCACAGGATTGCCTGGTACAGTAGCAGCAAGGTAAATACAATGTGACAAACTGAAGGAAATCAAACAAAACAGTCCAGTTGGGACTGAGTATTTAAAAAAAATCCTAGTTATCTAGTGATATCGATTCATTTACATACATGTGTTTTAGTGTGCAGTATTCACGTATACGATATGTTTTGTCTACCACCCACCATAAAAATTGTTTAGTAGAAATATTGTAATTAAATACATGATAATAAACATTAATTGGGAATGAGTTTGTTGCCCTGGAGACTAATGAAGGGCTTGGAATGCAAATATATAATTCAAAATAATTCATAGTGTAGGAGGTACAGGCAGCCAGAGTGTATATATGCACATTAGGCTTATATCGAGGTAACTCCCCACCCCAGGGTCGAATTACAGACCCTCCCAGGAGGCAACCTCAATAAGCTGACTAGCTCCTGGGTACCTATTAATTGCTAGGTGAAAGAGGGCATAAAGTAATAGGAAGCATGCCCAACCATTTCTGTCTCGCCTGGGATTCAAACCAGGAATTCCTGAATGCGAGTCAAGAGCGAACCTAACTACAGTATTTTGAAGGATAAAAGGTAACATCTTTGCTTATCAGGAGACTGGACCACAGAGACCTTGAATCCCAAAACTACTGCAAGGTAATGATGCTCAAATTGTGATGTATTAATGCAAGGCACAAGGCAGAAAAAAATTACACAATGTAAACAATAAATGAAGGCGTTGTTAGCTGGGCCAAGCCTTCCCCTTTTTTCATTATCGCAACTGGTTCAAAATGGGATTCCTTTGAATTGTTTATGTTAAATTAATTCTCCAGCCAATAAAAGCTATTTCTTCCTTTTAGTACCAGCTAGAAAAGGAAGATTTTTTTGGATAACTATGATGTGTTAGAAATAAAGCAGAAGGTTGTTGGGAACAGTTTGCCTCAAGGGTTTTCAATTCTCAGCCTTGCCTGAACAAATCTATAACAGCATATACTGCCAGCTGTGTTATGGACTGGATAAGAATTCTTTAGGACTAGCCATAGGTTCACCCCAACTGAAGTTTATTCTATTGCCGGTGCACTACCTCTAATACTGTAGCAAATGAATACATGGTTATTGTTTATAAATGCCAAATATAGATGCTACTACAAACAATATGCAACAAAAGTAAATTTAAATTGTTTATATTAACTATACACTACAGTATTTCTTCATATTTAACAATTTCCTTCTAAGATCCACTTCCAAGCTGCTAACACATACAATAACTATTTACAGTGAGTTACATTAAAGTGCCTCAAGATCCTTGTTGTGCAATACAAATCATGAATCTAGCCACTAACACTAGTGTGATAGTTATAGCCACCTCTTGTTTTGTACAAGATGCAAAATATAATATTTTTGGAAAAAGACTAAATATGAAAATTGAATACGTGTGCAGGATATACAATAAAAAAAATCAAGTGCTTACTTATCGTTTGAGGAGGAGTCACTCGCCCAGGATTTAGGCCCTCTGTCTTTGGAGTTCTTCTTGTCTTCCTAAAATGGCAAATACAACATCAAAGAAAATTCGCACAAATTTCTAAGCGTAGAAATTTTAGGGCTGTAAGAACCAAATTGCTTAACATGCGGGACCACTCAGATTTATAACCAGAGTAGGGGATAACCAATTTTATTTCATGATTAAAGGAGGTTCAACTATTAAAGCACTAATACTGCATTTAACATTTGTATTTAATAATGTTAAATACAATATTTAAAATTTTAAAATAATGGACAACCACTAATGGATAGTCATACTGAACCCAGTTATGGCACTGCCTTCCAATTTTTTTTTACGGGTGAAGTGCTGGGGTTGAAGTAGAGGTTCTTATCTAACATTGTTTATCTAATAAGGTCATTAAAATTGCTTACAAACATGGTGCAAATATTTTAAGTACTGTATCTTCAACTCTCTTGCATTCCCAGCTTCCACTTCTATACGGAATTCTTATTTTCTTTAAATACCTTCTTCATTTGTGTGCGTGTTCATTAGTGGATTACAAAATGCTGTCATCCTTAAACTATATTTTCCCTTTCATAATTTCCACATTGCTTGGATTTAGCACTAACAGTCTAGATCACTTGTTACTGTACAAGGACTATTGCAAAACCCCTCTTCATCTCTCCTACATTTTAAAGAAAACTATTGCCTCATTCAGCATTTCACTTCAAGCTGTTAAAAAATCTTAAAGATGGGGGTAAATTGCTATGCAGTTAATTGTTTTTCATAACTGGAAATGTCCGTTTTACTGTTATGCCATCCAACACTTATCCAACTGAAAATCTGAAGTCACTACACGTACACTCATTCACCAATTCGTGTGCATCATTAATCCTTAAAGGGCACAAATCATACTAGTACATTTATGTATGAACTAAGAGTTAGGTTTCTTACTAAGCACTTTCTCAAATGCTTTCAAAGTTTTTGGACATAATCTACTAGCAAATACTCAAACTTTGTCTAAATGATTACCAATGTAAATTGAAAAACAAGAAAAACAAAAATAATTTTAAAAATGAATATTGAAAGCTTCAGATTTTCAATTCGGATTAACAAATATACAATTTCACCAATTGTTCATTTGGTATTATGCTCTCAGAACGGCAAATGATCTTCATTTTCATCAAATTTGAATAGGTTTTCAGTATAGTTTACTGGAAAAAAGAACTCAATATGGCATTTGAAATATGGGTCAAATTTAGACATTTGTAACTCCAAATGTTTAGTTTATGAAAAATCCATTTTATAGGGATTGTAGAACAAACAGCTGTGCACACTGTATGCATAAATGGTGAGAATTGGTCAAACTGGATTTTTTGACCCAACTCAAAGTTGAAATTTTAGTTATCGATATACAGTACATGTAATTGAAGTTATCGACAATAAATAAGGTAGTTCTAATTCATTAATTTACTTTTAATAAACATTGTTTGGCATTCATAATCAAATGTGAAAATTTTGGTCAATATACAGCAGTATGTTGAAATGAAGTTAAGAAAAAATACCCCCCCCCCAAAATAAAATAAAATATAGGGATAATTATAATTTAGGGGATATATCTATGGTATGCTTTATATAAGTGAAAAAGCCCTAGTCTTGTCCCTAATCATCAAAAGAACCTAAAGAGAGAAAGAAAATAGTTTGGAGGGGAAAAAAAAAAAAAACTCGAGTTCTACGAGTAGCGACCGATTTATTTGTTGACCAATTTCATTCTATCTTCACAGATGGGCATGCACTCTCCAGGATGTAAAGGTTACAACAAAATCAGATAAAAAAAAAAATTGGACATTGATGAAAGTAAGATATTAACATGGGCAATGCATTTACATTATAGGATATGCAACAAAATAGAGCATAATAACTCATTATTATTTGTGTTATGTATTACTCGGCAATTAAAGGCACCAGCTGCATATCCACTTTGTGAACACTTCTAACTACAGTACTATTCTTTTTCTTTGTGCATCGAACAGGTGCTTGCATCTCTATTACTGCATTATCCATCAGTTCCAGTTAATAGGATCTGTTCTCCTTATCAACAAAACTTTGTTTTTAAAAAATTCATCTAAAACCAATTTCTGAAAATATTTTGACGAAGTTTCACAATGCTGAAGCCAACAAGTTGGAGATTTGTTTAAGTAATTTTTACATAATTTGAATAATTTTTGCTTCCCTGCCCCTTATGCTGAGCAGTTTGGAGGTTAAAAATGTATTCACATTATCAAAACAATATCAATATATTGTATTGATAACTATATCAAAACCTCATTTAATGCAACTTACTTCTGCTAGCTCTCCAATATAGTATTCCTTCATCATTTCCCGAGCATCAGTTGAGTGGCCAACATCCTCAAAACCTTCCGTGGCATCAGTGCCAGCCTGCTCAAGAAGAACTTCCTCTCCACCAGGATGCTGTAAAACATTAAGTTTTATTAATAAAACACAATACACAAAAGGAACTGGAAATCAGGTTTGCAGTTCCTTTTATTATTATAATAAAGCAATTATAAATAATTTATTATAATATACTATTTATTATAATAAAGCAATTATTATTACTGTACATACCATATTCCCTACAAATTGTAGTCTACAGATGCAGTAAAGTAGTTATTTGTAAAGTAATGAAGATTAGCCTAGAGAATAGTATGTTCTGGTAAAGGGTATAGTGAAGCAGTTTTTACAAGAGTAGAGCTGTGTCGATACCAAAATTGTTTATTACAGGCTTATTAGCCGATGCCAGTACTTATTTTAAATATTAGAACATTAAACAATACACTGTGGTACCAGGATTTGCAAGTTATTCCAGTATATTAATAACATTTAAGGGGCCAGGCACACAATTTCTCAACCTCCTTCCAATACAAACTTTTTGGGCATAATCTAGATACATGATAAATGTTCCAACTTTTCCTAATGGATCAACATCATAACATGAACAGGAACAAAAATATCGGTTACTTAAATGTATTTAAGTAACCGATAAGTAAAAGTAACATTTAAGTAATACTTAAAGTAACCGATAGTACATTCTTATTACATTAAGTAAATAGAATGGATCATTTACACAATGATCACAGGACCATCAGTTAGTTTAGTTCATTTATTATGCACCCCATACCCATCTTGTGGGCAGTAGTGGAAAGGGTTACAGAGGCACATAATGGGCTCAGGGACTGAACCCCATAATTCAATTAGCTAAGCAAGTTACAATTGCCTATTTCGTCACTTAAGATGCCCTGATATCAAAAAAACCGCTAGAGTTCATCGATTGTACATTACGTATTTTTGCCGTCAAGAGTGCAGTTTTCAAAAGATTATCTCCTAAATTATCCACCATTGTTTCATATTTAAATCTTGTAATTCGTGTTTTGTATATTACCAAAAATCCCTTATTCTTCAACCCCTCACAGCTAAAAGAATTTGAGAGCTTCAATACTATGCTAGGATTTATGTACGAAACTTACTAGTTTCACATTTCTGTTCTAGATCCAACTACTCTGAACAAAAGTTCCAAGTAGCACGGGCTATGGTGAGCCCGTAGTGGCCTTGTTTTAGGTTTTGATTGTATAAACCTTCCTACCTTTATCCAAATTGAGCTCGCCATCATTTTCGGCGACTACAACGCAAGGTATATTACAGTACTATAGTAACTACAAACTCAGTTATGGTTGAGCACCATTCCATTCCCCTGTAATCGTAATGGCTTGGCGCTTTCTCCTGATAGTTCCCTTCTCAGTTCAGTGATAGGAATGGCATTTTTTTCCAATATTAAATAGTAACGATGATGCGAAGATTGAGGGATCACCTTGAATCGCCACTTGACTATAGTTATTTTGACCTTGATCTTTGATTCCCCGTTTCCCATACCATCTGTGCTTAATTATCTGTGGCATGGCGTCAGTTCATTTCTCTCTCTCTCTTTCCGGTTTAATATTTACGAATACAGCTAAGTGCCGCCACCGTTCAGGTTCAAAACGGTAACATTCTTTTGAATACCTCTGTTGAACATTGTAACAATGGGCGAGTTGGTAAATGTTTGGACAATTGGTTTTTGCATATGATCGTGTGGGGTATAGTGACTGTTGGTGGTAGCAAGTTGAGAAAGAAGGCTTGTCCTGACTCCAGGATGGGAAGTTGAAGTCATAACACTTTCCTATGCCGGTATCTAATGTCTGCCTTTGACATCGCGAACTGGCAAGTATAATTTCTAACTATAAGAGCAACTTCTTCGTTGCCTAGGAAGCCAATATATGATAAGTAATAATTCATAAAGTCGGAGGACAGGCAGCCAATTTATATACCCAGTAAGTTAGGCTTATATCGAGCCCTCCCCCCCCCCCCCTTCCTTCCTTCGGGTGCAACCCGAAACAAGCTAACTCCTGAGTACCTATTTTCTAGGTGAACAGGTTCACTAGGTGATAGGAAACACGCCCACACCATTTCTGTCCAGCCCGGGATTCTAACCCGGAATTCTCTAGTGGAAGTCGAGAACGAACCCGATTGTACTACCGGAACACCCTACGTCAATCAGTCGTTGCTTTAAAAAGAAATTTAAAACTAAAATGCTAATTCCCACGAAATAAAAAAAGTACAAAAATACACCAAGACAACAAAAATGTTGCTGTAGGCAAAGTACAGAAAAATATGAACTTCCCAGTCCACCACCACCAATGGCCAACCGTCGCAGTCACGATGACATGGCACATTTAATACTTTGAGGATATACAGATAAGATAGTTTATACTTTTAACCTAGATAATGTGTCCCCGAATATCATTTACTGGTTTACATCTTATATTTAACGATAAGCTACCCCTCACTACAAGAACTACCTCACCCCACCATAACAGGCCATAATTCTACCCCCTTCTCCAATCAGCCCTAAGTTTGATTTTATTTATTTATTTATACAAGGTACATTGGGGGTTAACAGAGAACATAGAAATTAAGATTTTACATTCTTGTAAAGCCACTAGCACGCATAGCGTTTCGAGCAAGTCCTTAAACAGATCATTTTTAGATAATTCACAGTAAAAATGACTTTTTTACAAGTATTTTACAGCTTTACTTTACAGGTCAGATGATCAGGTACAGTTGATGAACTTCAAAACGCCCTGTGCGTGATGCCAAATGATGGCATGAGCTAAGTAAGCGTCGAGGAACACATTACTTATGGGCAGCGCGTCAAGACAACTGTCTACTCATGGTGAGGAGGCAACCTTGGGTGGGAGGGGGGGGGGGTGGAACTGTGGGAGTCAATGGGTGAGGAGAGCAGTGTTGAGCAACTACAGATGTTAAATAAAATACATTCACTTGCATGACAACAACGTTTTGAACTTGATAAGCCCCTCCAAAGGATACCTGATCAACTAAGCTATGACTCATACGTCAGGCTGCAAGCAGCCGCGTCCAACAGCCTGGTTCACCAGTCCAGCAACCAGGAGGGCCTGGTCGACGAACGGGCCGCAGGGACGCTAAGCCCCGAAATCATCGCAAGGTTAGGTAGGCGGGGCATAGCGCTACACTTCATTACTCGGTAAACACTGATAGGCAAGCACACTTGTCAACAGGTTAGGGGTAGCGTACGTGCCTGCAGCAACGTATATGAATGAGCCTGCACAAACGTGATAGTATTAACAAGATGAGCCATTATAAACTAATTGGTAGAGCACCTCCTTGGAAGGTTTAACACTGCCAGAACCCAACCAGCAGTTTAAATGAAATGAACCAAACAAAGTTTGATGCAAGATTTAAAATCCGTTCATATAGTCATACGCATTTGTGATCGCCAAACTTTAATTTGCGAGGACATAATGCGTAGAAACTTCTCCACGTCCACAAGTTACCCAAGAATAAACATTATTTTAATCAATAAAATTTTTAATCGTACAAGATCACGCAATGTTACACTGATTATATGAATATATATAACCCGCAATATATGACCGATGCTAATATTCTAACTTTCAAAACTGTTTACACCCCCTCTTCCCTAACACGAGACTACCTCCACCCGTATACCGGTTGCTACCCACCTACCTCGTTACACGTTGTCACTCAAAATTCTCGGGAACTTGGCACATGTAACACGATCAAGTAGTACAGCTGAAAACTACGTACCTATGTTGACCAGACCACACACTAGAAGGTGAAGGGACGATGACGTTTCGGTCCGTCCTGGACCATTCTCAAGTCGATCGAATCGACTTGAGATCACAATGGCGATCACAAGTCGACCATTCTCAAGTACTTGAGAATGGTCCAGGACGGACCGAAACGTCGTCGTCCCTTCACCTTGTAGTGTGTGGTCTGGTTAACATTCTTCAGCCACATTATTGTGACTCATCGCCTACGTACCCATATGAACCACAAACAGTGAGACTTCAGAATTTTGGTTTAGCTTATTTATTATGCATCCCATACCCATCCTGTGGGAGATGGTGGAAAAAAAAGGTTTGAGGTACATAATGCGCTCAGACTTAGCTAAATAAAACTTGGGGGTTAAGAGCCTTCACAATACAAAAAATGTCCAGCGCCAAAAACTAATATTCATCATTTGCCAGTGTGTGTAAAATCGCTACAAGTCAATTATACAGCGATTAAAAAATATATGAGAAAACCAAACCTACGTACACTACATACATCCTTAACTGCAAAGACCAACATTTTAGTTGCTGCTTTAATTAAAACAGCGAAACGCATTTTGGCTGAAAAAAAAAATCCATATTCACATATCTTGAGAAAACATTTAGTATCAAAATATTTGTAAATTCGATTATTTTTACTGAAAAAATTACGTTTCATGTTTCATTAAAAACATGAAAAAGTCACTATTTTAACGATACACGAATTTTAATACAAACACTACCTGACGAACCAATCACAGCCCCCTCCCATCAATGAGGAGGAATGTATATGTTTATCTCTCAGCATGTTTGGTAATATGTTTATTGTTTGTGATGTGTTAATACATACATATCTATGTATGTATTAACACGATGTACTGAACGGAGTGAGAATAGCTTGAGCTACCTCATCCCTTTGTGTGTATTTTACCTCAATAAACTTATTTCAATTTCTCCCATCAATGGGCCCATCCGATCAATTGATCGTCGTCGCTTCTAAATCAACAACCTCCCGTCAATTTACAAATAACACCCTTACTTACCGCACCACCGCACCAAATGCTGCAGTAATTACATTTGTAATACATTAACACATCGCAGGACTTTTGTTGCATCTGGTCACCAGTCCCCACAAATATCCTTGACATAACTAGTAATGATATTAGAGCTTGGTGCCTGCTATGCCCTGATTGGTACGCATTGCGTGTGTACTGCCTTAGGAGTATTGCGTAAAGCCAGCTCTCGTTTACCAGTTCCATCCTGAAACCAAACTTCAGCTATCTA